GTCCCAGCAGTGCTGCTCTCTGAGCTCTCCCACCAGCATGCAGCCGTGCAGAGATTCACGGTGGGATCTGGAAAGACCCAGGAAAAGCAGATCCAGCTGGCCAGCCCTGCACAGCTGTCTACTGACAGACAAAATGAGGGGCTCTTCCACTCAGCCTCTTGCCTCCCTGATTAGGCCATCAGTTTCAGTTATAAATAAATAGAACACACAAAGATAAAAAAACAAACTGAAACTAAACTATTCTAGATACAGCTCTGACTGGGGGAAAAAAAAATCAGCAGAACTTTCATCCCCAAAAGCAGAACACCAAATATGAACATCTGATGAGATTTGGGGTAACATCTGTTATGCTGACCAAAGACTCACCTGCTCTCAAAGTAGGAAGAGTTATTCTACACAGTCTTGTCTGTTTCTGCCTAACATTTATAAACATTCTAAGAACTTGCAGACTGATCGATGAAGCAGCATAAGCTTCTCCCTATGTACCATGAAAGGCTGATTTAGCTCAGTGAATGTTTCAGTTCAGGAGTCAGTTTTAGCAACATTTGCTACAACAGTATCAGCAGCAGTGGCATGGGTGGTTTCTGCTCAGTGGGGACAGGGAACACAGGAAAAATCAAAGTCCCTGTCTTGGTTGACTCCAGCCAGCCCTTTGCTTTTTCAAGTTGGTATGGAAGGAGCTACCAGAGATAACAGCAGAACATGTCATAAGCAGACACTGACTAACAAGAAGGGCAACTGCATTTGTCTTTTTAAACAAGACTTGTCCACTGAAACTCCTCAACTCAAAGACCAGTTAATTTCCATCTCAATAGAAAGGCAGAAGTCTGCCTGTTCTCCTACACCTCAGGGAAGGACTGAAGTTAGGCCACAGAGATTTGTCACAGAACAGCCATCACATCTGCTAAGTTCTCATCTGTTTCTAAACCACACTGAAAATTTGCTCACACAAAGAGCAATTCAGGTGCATTCTCAGCACTTGGCTTTGGAAGACTGAAAGCACCTGAACAAGGTCAAATGCACTGGTGTGCCTGTTCCCCTTCCTTGGAACCAGGAACCCTCCAGCGAGCTCCATCACAGCCCCAGTGCCCATGGGTCTGGCAGTCTCCACAGAGGGTGCTTCTAAGCCAGGTAAAAAGGGATCCTCAGCATCCTACAGGAATTCTCCGAGGCCAAGGAAACCAGATCTGTAAGTTGCCCTGTAGTTTCTTGCAACTGCTTTGCAGTTTACTCTCCCTTTCTTCCTGAAGAGGAGGCTGACAACTTGATTCCTGAAAGCACAATTTATAGGCCAGCTTCAAAGCTATAGGTCCCTCTAAGGCTGTGGTTGGGGAATTCACATCAAAGACGATGTGCACATGTTGTTCTGATGCCAGAGAGGACGCTTGGTAGAAATCTCCGTGGATTTGCTACAGTCCCCAGTACAGGGATTAAATTATGCACTGAGGCTGCCTCTGTAAACTGCAGGAGACAAAGAGAATAAGTGGCAGTGCAATATCTCATAATCAAAGCCTGGCACAGTTCTTTGCATCAGGCTCTTGGAAGCTGTCAGGGGATTAAGAGAAGGGACCATGTGTCAAGGCACCCTCAACTGAAGGGACAGAGCAAAAGCTGGTTTTGTTTGCTTTTAAGCCTGTTACCTCTGCACTTTTACTGAGAAAAATATCTTGGTGCAAGAGGTGTACAACACTGTGATGGGAGGTGAGTTTCCTTAGTTATTGCACAGCATTAAAGAAACACAATACTTGGTGATTTGACCCATTTGAGTTAGTTTTGATGTGCAGGTGCAGAAGGAGCTCACACAATTTATGCTATTATCTATCCCAACCCAGTACCATTTATGGTGTCCATATGAAGATCCAGTGAAGAAAAATTAAAAGACAAGACTGAAAAGAACTTTAGATGCTGTCTAAGAAAAAAGCACAGCAACTGGCAATAGGAAAGACAATTGTCATGCTACCAAAACACTGCCCTGATGTCATCATTGATTCTACTTCATCCACTACTACCATCAACATCCCACTCCCTTGTTTAATTCTTTCACAAGGTATTTTTTCTACTGGAACATGAAACATTCTCATTTCCAGCCATTCCTTCCAACCTTCTCCACTGCAATTTAGGCCAAGTCCTTTCACAGAAGCATTTTGCTGCTGTCCAAGTCTGTGCATTTGAGCTCTTTGCATCTTTTCACTATCTCTCATTTCCCACCACCAGCCTGCTCTCCACCCTCACCTTCAGCCTCTTACACCTTGCTTGCAGATACATCTCTGCCATGATTTTCTACAATCTCACTCACCTTTGATTTCTTAATCTCTTCTTTCTTTTAGTGCTTCTTTATGCTACAGCTCCTGGTAAGAGGATTCAGGAAAACATGATTGTCCTTCAGGCTTACATCTGGTAACACAATTTCACCAACAGCTGCTCCAAAAATGCTAATTCTGTTTTCTTTGGAGGCTGTTTTCCATTCTCTGTAAGGCAACCAGGAGCACTGACATGTAAATAACAAGTCAACAGTGCTCAAATGTGCATATACTTTCTATGTGCACTTTTTACACATATTAAATACTTTTTGGTTTTATTTACTTTATAATTAGCACTTGAAGTTATTCCACCATCTCCCAGCAATTTCACGGCAGCTTTTATAATCTTACCTCCTTCTTACATTTACCTGTAGTTTAACATTCCAAGTGTGGTTGTTGCAGAGGATACCTCAACAGACTTGTATTAAAAATGCTCTTTAAAATTCCAGAGCTTTGAACTAAAGAAATATCTCAAGAAGTTTTCATGGAAAGTTCATTGCGGTTGGTTCAATTCAGCTGCAGTTAGATGCACCTTTTCAAATAATGGGAAAAAAAATGTAAAGGGGTCAGACCCAATCAATACAGTTGTTCAAACAGAATTTCAGGCACTGTGATGTGGGGATTTTTTGTGCTCTTTCTTTGTACTGCTCCACTATGAAGAAAGGTTGCTTTTGCTAGTAGAGCAATAAAAATCTTAGCCTTTTGAATACAGCCAAATAACCAATGGGAATCTTAAACAGGTGTGGAAAATACAGCGATTTTTTCATGTTTTTCTTGTGCATGGCTTTGTTCTTTTTATAATCACGCAGTACATGGGCACACAGAGACACACAGCACAAGCAAACACTTTAAAATACCCACAGACAGACAGAAATCAGAGGGGTAACATCACATCCTGCCTTCTGCATCTTCTAAGTTTTGACACTAGGTAAATCTGGTCTTTCCTTCATAGAACATCCAGAAGTTAATTGCTAAGACACCTGGGAAATAGGTAGTTTGCTAGAGGGGAAGAGATTCTGATATAAAATATATATATATATTTGAAGATCTGGAAGTCAGAGGAGTAAATGGTGCAGGGGGAAAAATAATGGTGTGAAGTACAAGAATGGGTTGGGAGTGCTCTGCCTTCTCAGAACACCAACCCCTCCCTCCAAAGGCTGTGGGGTATCCAAACCAACCACCCTGGTGGGCTTTAAGAGCTTTTTGAAATAGCAGCACACAACTTTAGTAGAATCCTTCAGCAGCTTTTCCTTCCACACCTAAGATATTCTCCAGAAGAGAATCTCTCAGCAGTTTCTGAAAAACCTTTGTATCTACTTCTGGTGGGGTTTGTTTGTGGGGTCCTGTTGTTGTTAGTGGTGTGGTTTTTTCCTTCCCAAGTGTTCCAAAACAGCCTGGATGTCCCTAAGTACTGCTTACCTGCCCAGTCCTTTAAAACAAACAGCATAATACAGGTGCAAACAATGCTACAGCTGAATAGGATTCCTTGCAGCCCAGCAACCACACAAACTTAAAAATAATAGTGAAAAACAGGGCTGGGGGCTGCTGTGCAAGTCCAGAAAAGTGAAAGAGGTGCCACTTACAGCTATCAGGCTGTACTTTTATAAATGCAGCTGGGCAGTAAACGTTTAGTAACTTCAGCTGAAGAAATTGGAAGCAGATGTACATGAGAAGAGAATTCAGCCTCCAAAATTTTTGCTTGGTATAATATTACAAAACACTAATTAAAAACCAGCACAATCAAAAGAACTGACACAGTTTTCTAATGAGTGAGTTCAATTAGTCCCACAATACTTCACTGTTCAATAGGCAGAGGGGGAAAAAGTCCACTTTCTGAGCAAAATTATATTGATCTGCAAGTTCACATAACTTTTTTTCTAGTTTTAATATTAGAAAGTAACTTGTAACACCCTGAAAAGAGCATGTAGATTAAAAGAAACAGAACTAAAAAAGGAAATTGACCCAAACCAAACACTCCATGCATAGGAAATCTAGTTATTCCTATTTTAAAACTACACCCTTCATTACAAGCAATGGTCATTAAGAACAGCATTTCACATATTCAACAAAAAGTTTTGGAAGAAAAATTACCTTATAATTTTTTCCCAAATATAGGATTAACTAGGGACATGACCAAAATCTTTCAATCAAGACTGGTTTTGTTGAAAATGTTAATGATGTAACTGTTTAGGGCAAAATCCTTCTCTTCCACACAAGGTTGAATGAGCAGATTTTGTGTGTGTGATCAAAGAAAAGAGAATGAGCATCTGTCCCATCCTGCAGAGCAGCACTGCCTCTGCTCCTTTCCCTTCACTGCCCTGTTGTGTCCCAGAAAAACTGGATGAGCACATCCTACCACAGCTCAGCTCCCAATTTCTGCCACTCACATCCAAAAGCCAAGGACTCACAGCCTCGAGTTTGTGCAGTCAACACTAAGCCACAGAAACACTTTTAATAGTTTTTTTTCAGAAGAATTCAACATGTCCAGCACTCTCCATCAACTTGGGTGTCTTTTGAGGGAATTGCTGCAAAGTCCAACACTGCCAGTGAGCTGCAGTTTTGCCAGTGCCCACCACCTTCCCCTCAGCCAACATCCCACTTGCTATTCAAGAATAAAGACAGATGTCATCAATTGCTTAGAAAACATTTCTAAAAACAAAACAAAACAAAAAATCAACTAATAATAATCATCATCAAAAGGTAGAATTGGTGTAGAAAGAGTCTGATTCAAATCCCAGTAAAATAAGTGCAAAACTGGGGAACTTCAATGGGATTTGAACCAAAGAAGGACAAAATGTGATAAAAGCACAAACGACTCTGGATTTCCAACTAGCTGGACACTGATAAGAGAGCAGAAAAGACAGAGGCAATAGGAGGCAGTTATGTTAATATTTTAATCTGTACATATACCATTTTCCAAACGGTTACATTTTATTTAAATTAATGTTTTCTTGCAAAATATTCATTTATGCTTTCAAAACTTTTTTATAAAGGCAAAAATAAATCATTATTTTGGCAAAAGGTTTTGAAGTTGATACTGGCAGTATTGAGGTAAAATAGCTTGCATTAGCTAAATATATACTTTTAAGAATATTTCTGAGTATAGTGTTAATATATGATGATTTGTCTTAAAGTCTGAAACACAAAGGTAATTCCAAGGGGTTTTTAGCTACTACTTGAATACAGGGAATAGACAAGTTAGTGGTTTCACAAAATACTGCAGAAGTATTTCTCAGTTATTTCTCATCCAGAGCTGAACTCAGCTACTAATTACATAACATTGGGAAGTTTTTGCATGTCTTGCATTCAATGCATACACAGGGTTTTTTAAAGTATAGTTGCAGCAATACATTTAGTCTTATTTTCTCCTTATTTCAACCCGCTCACCCTTTGCCCTATGCATAAGTACAGCACAGAATTTCAAAGTTTGGCAAAGATAAGCACCAGGTGAACATACACAGGAAATTAGCAGGTGCCACATTCCATTAGTTATGCTATGTTTCTAGGATAAATACTAGTCAGTACATCATATTGTAATGTCTATTGAAAAAATATCAGAAGAAAAATATGTATTTACTAGCCAAATGACACATTGTAATTGTTTATTGCTTACTTCACATATTTTAATTAAAAATCATCTTCTTTCACATCTCAACTTCCAAAACAAAATTTTGTTAGCTGTTTGTTATAGAGGGAGCAGCACTACTTTCAAGGGCAACCTAACAAACTGAGGATTGATACCACTAAGTTAATTATCTGGGATCACAAAAAAGGGACTTAAAACTGGCCTTTGTTATGGCTTTCTTGGGAAATTTCAGCTATACAGTGGTTCTAATATTTAGAAATTCAAGGTAACAGTTCTTGCAAAGGATTATTTAATGGGCAAAAGGGTGGGTCAACTCTACAAAAATATTCCATCTGAAACACCCTTTCACCAAACGTGTCACCTGTGTTAGCTCTATCCATACCCTAACAATGTGCTTCTAGGTTTGTTCAAATTTGCAGGGTTTTTCTCATAAAACTTTATGATGTGCATCTGAGCCTGAGGGGGAAGTAACAGCATCTTTTAGTATCTATGCAAGAAGTGTCTTTTAAAATGAATTCAGCCCTTGATTAAAAAAAAAACCTAAAATACACCGTTCTAAAAATACATTGTCAGTATTTTACAGAGTTTATTAAAAGTGCCGTTTATTCGTATAAAAAGTGTGAACTAAACTGAAGTAAATAAAAAATGATCTGCAGTTCTCTTCATTTTCATAGAAAATCCCCCTATCATTCTCTGAATGTCTTTCCAGAAGGTGTCACCAGCCAAGGAGTATCTCCACAGAAACCTGGAGAAGAATCTCCTCTGTCCTCCGCGTGGCGTCACAAAGCGGGATTTGCCTCCAGTCTCGCGTCAGTGCTCACTTACTGCTTTGGCTGGCGTGAAGGAAAATAAAACATGGTTAAATATTGAAGGGAGTCAGCCAATGCCAATGCCAAGCAGTAAGAAATTGCTGGGAACTTTTTTTTTTTAAGCTTTTTGCAGTTTGACAGAAGGAACAATTCATACAGACACGTTAAGCCAACAATTGTCTCACGATGCCACTGATGCTCAAGCTCCTGTGTCCCCAGCATACCACAGCTACTTTCTTTTTCTGAAGAAAACATAACTTTATATAAATATACATCTGTAACTGTATATCTATGAGTACATATCTGTACAGACATGTGCTAGACATGTTTTTAAGTCAGTCTGCAATCACAGAATGGTTTGGGTAGGAAGGGATCTCTGAAGGTCAGCCCCAGCCCCCTGCTCGAGTCTCTGGCACTGTACAATTATTTGAGTTACTCAAGCAACCCTCTTTACTACTTTATCTCTGCTTTATTTTCTTGTTCAATTTCAGGCAATAAAATTAAGCCAAAGAAAATCAGAAGGGTAAGAATAATATGCATCCAGTATAAATATAGATGCATAGCAAGTGTCTTAACTAGGGGCACACTCAGCAGTTGCATACAGTATTTACACCTTTTCCTACTTCCAATTTCAAACAGGGAAATCTCTGCAAATCCTATTGAGAAGAGACAGAAATACAGATGTTTCTTTGTAAGGACAACAAAATTATCATTATTTTAATACCTGAAGTGGCAAAACAACCTAACCCGAGACAAACCCAATCTTCTGTTAACATGATCCAATGAAAGGCATGATCAAAGTCAAACACAACATTGCAGAATTAGTTACAAAGGGCCAAATTTTCAGCTCACCTCAGCTGAGACTCTGATGCCAGCTCATGTGTAGGATATACCAGCCCACAGAGGAAGCCCCTGCTTGTACAGGGGTGCACTTTGGATTCTCTCTTTGTACGCCCTGAGCAGCCACCAGAGTACAGAAGGCTGCTGAAAACCTGGCCCCCTGTTACCCAGAGCACAGAGGTCTCCTCCCTTCACCACAGCAGGACTGAGGAAGCACCTCACCAGCAGAGCAACAGCACTTAACTGGAGACTGCAGCAGTCCACGTGTTAGCTCATTAGAAGCAATATTTACAAGGACAAAAGGTTCCTGGAAAAGCAGCTGCATGCTTTCATTCGGATGGAATCTTGGTTTAGTAAAGGAGTTAAAATTTAGCAAGCCACAGCACAGGCACGATGGCAGATCTGACATGCCAAGAGCAGTTAGTTCTTACTTGGAAGGTGTTTAAACAAATGTGTAGTGAAATCCATTGCTTAAGGGGGAGTGAGGTGGCTGTGGTACAGAAGGTGAGGGTGCTTTGGGTGGGTAGGTCAACTGCTGAGCTAGAAGGGATCACACACAGGAATTAGGCTGCACAATCAAACATTGACATCATAAACGGAGTCACCTCAATTTTCTACCCCCTGATGAGCAATGAATGAGGCGCTACACTACTGTAGTCACACGGAACACAAGGTAAACAACATTTCTACCTGTTGCTTTTTTCTACTCCTCGCACCAATCAAACAAAGAAAGATTCCTATTTGCATGAGAATATGGACAACCAATCTTAAGATGAAATTTCACGGGAACATTATGAAGGCACACAACACTGACATACTCTCCTCAGCCCTGCTTTTAAAGCTCTGGACCAGCACCTGTATTTGCTAATTTGATTTCCAGACTTCACTGAGACTGTGAAGGTTTTCAACATTTTCTTTGTTATATGCCAGTGAGCAGAAACCAAAAAAATAAATAGAAAAATAATGTTTACAAAATTACATATACCCATAACATTTTGCTTAGTGCCGTGCATGATACAGTAAATACATTTTCATATCTCAGTTTGAAAATACAGGATAAAGAATACAATGATTAAAACTATTCTTGTTTATAAATCTGAATAACAGTATAGTATTGGAAGACAATAATCATAAAATTGCAGAAATTGAAGCTTGATCTAAAATTCTGCTTTTATGCTTTGGAGGGCCAAAGCACACAACACAGGAAATAACTTCTTAGTACTCCTGTATTTGATTTTAATCTTCCAGATTCTTGGCATGATTTCCACTCAAAAGGTTGATTTCTTATTAGGAACAGAGGAAACTCTAAAATGCTAAGATTAGATAAATTTGCAACTTATCTTAAAAGATTTATGTTAGCAAAATATCCTAACATAAGTGCTCGCTCCTGAAAAATGGGCAAAGTTAAGCTTCACAGTCTTTTTCATAAACAAATCTTTGTAAAACAATCTACATCATTAGATTGGGATTTTCAGATGTGGTTTCCTTCATCACCAAAGAGCAAACAATAGCTCATACTTCAAAAATCAAACTACAAAAAAAAAAAGGTGAAAGAATCTGTAATATGAGACTAAATGAGAATGTAAAATCAGCTGTGCAAAGTGTCAAATGCTTTCCTTTTTAACCACCTCAGTTCATCAGAAAATAGGCCATAACTAAAACACCTGAACTCTTTTCTGGTTTGTAGATTTTCTATTAAAACCAAATCATTCTGTTGGGGTTTTTTTGTTTTTTGTTTTTTTTTTTAAAATACCAGCACTTAACTGAAGTTTAAAACTGAAGTTTGCTTTTAAAGGAGTAAGAAATAACTGAAATCAAAGCAAGACATGTTTCAAGAGTGAGTTTTTGAGATAAAAGAGTGGCAACAAAAGCTGTGCATAAATATAAAAGTTTGGAATTCCTTAAAAACCTTAGTCTTTGGCTACTGTGTCAGGGTTTCTTTCAGTGTCTGAAAGACAACAGAGGCAGCTGCTATGCTACACAAAGAAAATGAAACTAAAACTTATCTCACAACTGACTGCAAATTTTCTGAAGCAGCATTTAAACACTTCAATGCCAATACACATTTTAATTCCCTCTTTAAGGAAACTAAAGAATTAAGAAGATTTTTGTGGTTACATATATCTAAAAAATTGACAAATCACACTTTTGAGATAATTAAACATAAAAAAATAAAATAGATAAATAAAAAACTTATAGGAATGAAATGTATACTAAATTCACTACACACTATTAAAAAAAAAAAAATCAAACCTATTTCAGTACTGTAGAGTTGCTACAAGTTTAGGCACACCCAGAAGTAACTAAAGTGGCCCCAAGAAGACCTTTGAGTAGGGCAGGCACTCTGCTCTGACATAGAGGAATGATTTCAGGTACTGGCTGTGTTCATCTGGGCTGGTCTTAGCCCACATGTGTGACCTTTTCCCAGCAGAAACTGGAACTCGAGTGGCAAAATGCTCCCCTGGCTAATACCTCATGAAAAAAAAAATTCCCATTCCATAACCAAAGGATTGGAGTACCTGTTAAAAGGTTCTGGTCACTAGAACTGGGACCAAAGCACCTGTGGAAAAGCCCTGTTGATACACCCACGGCCTGAAGGGCCACAAGGTTATTCCTGAACTGCTCTCATGATTTTACAATTCTGTTTTTCTGTTTGTTTGGTTTAGCTTTATAACGTCTGGCCTCCTCGGCGAATCATTTTCTCCCTGCCAGTCAGCTAAATTACCCACAGAAACTCTCTCAAGTCTCAAGATTCCTGTCTTGGAAATGTACTCCATCCCCTCAAAATGGCATTTCCCCTCAGGTTCAGCTGGCAGTGCACCCCTGAGTGTACAGCCACACTCCATCAACGCTGCTACTGCAGATGCACGTCACGCATCCCCATACTGGAATCATCTGTCTTGGATGGGAAGGTCTTAAGGGCTGCTGTGGCAACAGCCATAAGTTTAAACTGACAACTTTGGATGAGAAATGTGCATATTTTTTCTCCATCATAGTTGAAGTTTCCATTATTTCCATTCTCCACTGGAACAGTGAATGGTGCCAGTTATAAATGGCCAGTCAGACTCTTGGGGAAATCGCTGCTGCACGGATTACTGTGTGATACAAATCTCTTGACATTTCTTACTTATTTCAACTATAGAGCAATCAAGAGTGAAATTATCACTTTTAGCAACATATTGCAAAGGATCTATTAATTTCCAGGCATCAAGCAGAATTCCTGCACAGCTGTCTTGCTCTGACCTCTCATCCTGGTGACCGGACATGCCAATACCCATTTTACAAGCTCTTTTTCAGCCTGTTGCACACAGCCCAGGCTGCAAATGATTCTAGCCTCATCTCCATCACTGGACCAAGGAATTTTTCTCTTTAAAAAAATATTTTAAATCCTCTTTCCTTGATTGTTTTTTGAAGTCACAGATCCATTTACTTTCAAAAAATGAACATTGAAATATTTGACTTAATGTAATTACAGAGAACTAAAATGCTAATTTTTTTAGCACCATTAGTTACAGCAAGTTTCCAAGTTCTGAACTCATTGATCACAGTATTTTGCCTCCTTTATCCTGTCCACTGGAGGCCAAACACTCAACGTAAATCATTAGCCCCTCTCCATTTGTTACCAACACACACTTTTCACTATTTTGAATATGAATGACTAAAAACTTTCTTTCATGCCAGGAGTTCAGCAACAACCCCACACAACTTGAGAAGCTGGTAAGGAATAGCTGTTATTTTGTAAATAACTAAGCATTACCTGCTACCTCCTTGCTCCTCTGAGAGGCTTCAGAAGCCAGAGCATATGAAATGGTAATGATGCGCTCCTGCTCCTGCAGCTGTGAATCTAAATCAATCGAGTTGTGTTTGTCCTGGGCAACAGTAGGCTGCAGATTGTGCATACTGGGGGGAAAGTGAAAAACAACATTAACATTTGCAAACATAAAGAATCCACCATGCAGATAAGAAGGAGCTTGGATTCAGAGAGCAGTTTTCAGATCTCATCTATCAAGCTCCGTGTTTTATTGCGGTTCTTTAAAACAGGGTTGATGTTGTTACACAAATGCCTACAGCACACAAGGAAAAATGACAGTCACCACACGTTCAATCACAATTTCTGCATAGCCTTAAGAACATCTGAAAGTCCTTTTTTAAGAAATATCCTTCATGTGCTTAAATGAAAGCACTACAAAAGTGCTATTTATTTAAAGTTGTTAGTAAAATTCCTTGCTAGTGCTCAGAGGAAAAGGAAAACCTGGTGGTCCTCAGGCTGTGCCCCTTCCAAAGAGAGAGCAGGTACCTGACATACCAAATTCTGGAAATGGCATGTTTCAGCTGACTATGTTAGCTGTAAGTAGCCAAAAGTGTTGTTTCACAACTCCAGCTCTCTGGCCACAACAAACTTGCTCTCATGCTGACTTTTCTTCTGCTTTTGGCCAGCTTTTTGTCTTTCCTTCCTCCTCACTCTCAGATGAGAGTTGTTTGGTAAGGACTTACTAGTGTTTTAGGACTCTCTAAACAAGAAAATGGACATACACAAAATCAATCAGTGTGTCTTCTACCTTGTTTTAAAAAGCAGCTCTGAGTATGCCACATAAATTCTGAGTGCATTTTCTCAAAGCTACAAGCTGCATTCAGGTAACAGAAATAAAGATTGTTGTATGATGTTAGTTCTCAATGTTTAACATGTGTAAGATTTGGAAAAAACCCTACAGCCTAACCTTGATTTAGTAAGAATATTCTTTATCTTTTCTGCTTTACGCTGCCTTGCTGCCAGTTCTTCTGTAGAAAGAGGCTCCTCGGGCTCCAGCTCAACGTAACGCTCTGGAATTACAACCTTCTCAGGTTTTGACAACTGCAGAAAGAAAGCAAGCATGGAGTTTTCAATAACAAAGACTTAAAAGAAATTGAGATAAATCCTCCTCAATGGGAGAACAGAGTGAAAAGAATAAAGCATGGATTTTCACAGTCAGTACATGTACCTGACGCTTAACGCTTCTTGTGGATATCTAGCTGATGCCCTTTCAACAGTGTTCCCTCTGATTCCTTTTACTTCAGAAGATAGATTGAACAAATATTTAAAGGGATTACACAAGAAGTCAGAATCAACAGAAAACCTTTCTTCAGGCTTACAGCCCAAAATAGGACACTGCTAAAGCTCTTACAGTAGAAAGGAGCAACCACTCTGAGACTGACTGGACACCCTGAGATACCAATGTCATGATATGTCATGATATTTGTGTCATGCCAGCCAGCACTTCCTACATCTGAAAGGAAAATATTACTCAAAGTTTTACCCTAGGGTGCCATTCTTTTGGAACTGGACAATCTTCTGTGAGCAGCAAAGGGGAAAAAAGGCAAACAGAAATCGCTGTGTGATTGTAACAAGACATTGCATAAATTAATTCTGTAGACTGAAAATTTTAATATGACTGCACAAAAGCTAGAAACAATTTTTTACTAGGACAAATTAGCCTTTAGGAACTTTTCACTCCTCCCAATGAAAATACAGTTTGCAAACTTTGAAAATCAATGCTTATCATACAGAACAGACTGCTTTTGAAAACAAAAATAGAGGATGTGTGAATAAACAGAAATCAAGTAAAGGAGAACTATTTTTTTCTTCTTATTATTGGAATTTTGTTAAAAGACTCATGAGGCAATGAGTCTTCAAAATTTAAATTTTCTAATGAAAATATTCCTAAATTTTTTCACCACTGACCTTGGTTCATGCTAATTCAATGGATCATGTAACCTAACTGACCTAACCCCCAGTGCTTAGGCTGAGTGATTCACAGGGAATCTCATGCCAAGAGCACACACAATGGCACACTCAACAATATTAAAATTACAGCCTCAAGTTTTTAGACTTCCCTCTCAGGAAACCCAAAGCCAATGCTTCCAGAAAAATCCTCATTTTTCTACTATGCTTCCCTACTTTTGAATCCAACTCCTCTCTGGAGGTCTAGATATAGAGGTGTATAGACTTCTTTTTAATGTGTATCTCTATCTCCATACTGTATCTAACCTACATTAGCTCATCCTGTCACTTTCAGAATAACAAATCCATTAATCATTGCAAGAATAGATGAATTTCCTTAAAGACAGAACTGAGTATGTTTCCTGCTGAGGCACAGAGGCACCTCAAACACAGAAGTGCCTGCCAGGTGAAGAGAATGGCCACATGAAATGGAAAAGGACAACAAGGCCAGGCTGGATGGAGCTCTGGTTCAGTGGAAGGTGTCCCTGCCCATGGCTGGGACATGGGGCTGGAATTAGATCATCTTTAAGTTCCCTTCCAACACAAATGTATGATATTAACCTGGGTAAACTGAGAAAGAAGCATTACAGTCAGAGCTTCAGACCTACTTCAGTTACTCTGAAGCAGGACAGAAATGCCTATGCGCAAAAATGTCTCCTATTCAAGGTTTAAAGGGAGTACAAAGTGATTTCCACAGCCCCAAAGGCCTTCTGGAAAAGTAAAATTAATAGCAGAGTGCAACAAGGAAAGGCGGAAGAACAGAAGTTATTTTCTGTTTCTGAAGTTTACAGAAGCACTGTATTTTCTGTAAAAATTATACAGAGATTAACTGAAAGATAAATCCATTCATAGGGTTCAACAGATAACAATTCACAGAGTAAACCATTTACAAACATCTCTGTCTGTAAAATGAAACTCTGCCTACAGCTTTCAGGAGAGTACAGGTGCTTACCAGTCTAATTCCATTAATAGCTGTACTGGTTTGGCATCTCCCACGGCATTTAGCACAGCACAAGGCACCCCCAGCAGCCTCTCCCCTTGCTGTGCTCTCTCCTTCCCAGCAGATGGCTCAATCGCATCTCAAAATGACATTTCCTCCCTTACTGCAGCCGAGCCAGGACCTCTCGTGTGCCCAGCGCACCGACCAAGCCATTCCAAAAGCTGACAAATACATTTTCTGTTCAAGCCCAAATAAAGCAGAGCTTCCTCTCCTCTATCATCATTTGCCAGTCAGCACGAAAAGTAGTGAGGTAGCTCTGTGGAACTAACTTGTCCTTTGTTCCTGCTTCTCATTTTTAAATACTCATTATGTTGTCTTCTTGTCTTTTTTTCCCCAATTTACAGAACTTGCCCTAACTTAATCACTCTTCCCTTTAAATCCTGAGATACATATTTAAAAGAGTAGAGCCAACTTTTCAATTTCTTCTTTCTACTAAAACACAGCACAAACACAAAGCTTATAAAGGTGCCAGGTGCCATAAATTTTCAGTACTCAAAAGACTCCTTTTAGTTCAAACTTCCAGCAACTTTCAAAAGAAAAGATGAGAATTCAGTGCCTAAGACTTAGAAAGGTTAATGTTTTGGGACAGAAGATAGGAGGCAAAAGATTGTGAATGTTACCTCTCTGCTGATATCTAAATCATAGTCTTGAGGCTCCAGGTCTGTCTCTGTCACTGCTACTGGCTGAACTTTTAACCACTCATTTTCATCCTTGTCTTCTCCACGAATTGCCCTCTCAAGTAACTGCAAATCAAATTCTTGCTCTCGTTTCCACTGGTAATAGATACAAAACAATTAACAGCATTCAACCATACTGCCAAACTCACCATACAGCAATGCACATTACTACTGCAGCAAAACCTCCACTGCTGAAAGAACCAGCAGGGCAAACCCCTGAAGTGACAACAGAAAGAAAATAAAACTGCATTTCTTGGTACATAAGGGTGAGAGTATTGATCTCTAGCTGTGCTGTGAGGAATTCAGAGTATTGTTTAATTTTACATGTTCAGCAGTATTAGATTCTAAAAGATTTACGAATCCCAATTTTACATTTGCTGATGAACATGGGACCAGCCACACACAGGACACCACCTTTGGAATCACAGGTGTCACTACCAGTGAGCCTACAGGCTGGAGGAGCAGTCCTTGGCATTGTAAAGAGGCAGTGCTGCGTGGTTGAGAATCACAAGGTGAAAAATTTATATATCTTTTTTAGAATCATACCTACTGTTTAAAGGTGATACTACTTCATGTATTAGCATTAACTTGTCTTGAATTTAAAAAAAAATTACTTTTAAGCTCTTCAGACTTTACTAAAAGTAGAGTCTAGCTACCTGCAAAAGTCTTCCACGCAGTCTTTAAAATGTAAATATTTAGCAATATAAATCAGAACTATTTCATATGTATTGATATTTACATTTAGCATATTTAAGTTGCATAATGTGGAGTACCCAAAAGCACTGCACAGTAGTCCCTACACAACTACACACAATACAGTTACATATAAAGTCACACTTAAGGACACTACCAATACCTTTTTGTTCAAAAAATTAAGTTCAGTTGTAGCATCATTCCATCCAGCAGATCTGAGCAACTTTACCACATATGATATTAAAAGCAGTAGGAAAAAGAAGGGACAAAACCAACAACGAAATTATCCCCTCAAGGTTTTGAGGGAATCAACAGGAGAATGTGCCACTTTTATGTTTCTTAAAAATATCTCCAGTATTTCTGGTACAAATCTTTGGCTTGTTTTGGATGAAGTTTGAACTCCACATGAAGTCCTTAGACTTCATTCTGTCACTTGCATTAATAAATCTAATTGAAACCTATTCATGCACAAGCTCTCAGTATTCACTCAGAAGATAAGTATCTTCCATGTATATTAAAAAGTTAAGTAGGTAAGAGGCAATTATATCTCAAAAATTATTACATTACAGAATTCAACAGAGAAAATAAGATTTTTCTCATATGAGTATACTCCAAACTCATCCTTCTACTCATATTCGAACCAGGCCTGATTGAAATAGTATATTTTAAATAAATAGGATCATTTTCAAGTTGTTGCTATATAATAGGTAAGAAAAACATCAAACCATTCTTATGAAGCAGTTCTTTTATTGGCTTTGATGTTGCAACTTTTACATTAAAAAGGCATTGTATATAACAAATGAATTCATGTACTGTGATCAATACTTAAAATGTCATCCTATACTTGAGAGCTGACCAATTAAAATTTAGAATTACACATACAATGTATGTTTAAAGCAAATGTTACACACTGAGCAGCACTTCAATTACACATTTAACTGTTTGCCATTGTGGCTGCTAAATAATTGTAATGCTGTAAGTAATTGTGCTATCAAACATGCTTTTGCATATCAAAGCCCCATAGGTACAAGAGATGACCTCTACAAAACACTACTAGGGCTGAAAAACTCTATTTTAATTCTTTACAGCAAGAAAAAGACCAAGATGGCACCCAAATTTATAAATAAAGTGTTTGCCACAAATGTTAATAACGAGTGTTACGAAAGCTTTTCAATTCAACTCGTGTATGTTATGTGAGTCAGAAAACTTGAGAAGCTCAGATTTATTTCTTCCAATTAAAGTATGAAAGTAACAGTGGTACTATAACACTACAATTCCCAAACATTATGCACTGTCTTTAAAAAATTTGTGATTGCAAAACAGAAGACAAAACAGATGAATGTCTCCAAGCAGTGCAGTTGTATTTACTGGGAAAGTAAATACAAATAACTGGCTGCAAATTAGTGCTACAGAACAGTGGGAATGAAAAGCTGATTATAAGGTTTTTTTCAATGCCAGCAATTGACACACATGTACTAAATGCAATTAAGCCTGGTAAAAATTGAGTAGTCCAGTTAGAAATTTTAAAGTAGCTACAAAATTCTGCAAATTAAAAGCAAGCAAACAAAAAAAAAAAGAGGCATTAGGTATGATGAGTGACAAATTTAAAAGCAAGAGATCTTGTGCAATGAATTAGGTAAAACAATGTGATCATTCTAAAGCTCTAGTGGACCAAATAAAAAAATAAATTAAAAGAGCACAGCATAAGTGCAATTACAGTACAATCCTGGTTTAGCACCAAGTGAGCAACTGGGTAACTTCACCAATCAGAATTGCTTTGGTTAGTATCCAAAATGTAGCATTATAAACTTCTCATCTGCACAGCATTTACTCTCAGAAAGCAACAAAAATACTTTTCTTTAGCAGCCTAAATTTGAGCCTTATTAGAATATTCTGCATTTTGAGATTTAAAGAATTTGTATCAATTAGAATACATTAGCTCTCACATAAATTCCTAATCAGCATGATTAGATTTTAAAACTGATTATCCATTTATCATCTTTTTTAAAAAGAACGAACAAATACACCTTGGTCTGATATTATCACCAAATATCTTGCAGGCTAATTTATGAATTAAAAGGAAAAACATCCATGGTGAGAAACAATATTCTAAAAGGCCCATTCCATTATGAAGCAGTTTTAAAACTGTACAAGCTTCTGTCACTTTCTAAATACAATTCCAAGGAGAAAAAAAAACATGGCTCTGAAACCACCCCAAAACACTGACATCTCCACTCATCACTAACCTCTGACCAACTTACCTGCTGAACCTGCTACATTTACCATAACTACAAGTAAAAAATATCACCTGTTCCTCACACTCTCTGAACTCATTTGATACCACAGAACACTAATTTAATTGGACTAAAAGCATCACGCACACTCAAGTGAAAGTGCTTGCCGGGGGGAAAACAAAAAAAATTTTAAAAAAGAAGAATAAATCCAAAGATATTTTTAGTTTAGTCCTTTTAAGGCATATCTAACATACTGAGCCTACGTCTGCAGACACGGGCCTGATGAAAGGGCGAGATGAAACAGGCTGCCTTTCTCCTTGGCTAAGAGTCCTCTTGCGTTCCCGCACTAATGCCTTCTGATGTCTCTTCATTCTTTCTAGCTGCTCCTCTGCACTCATCTTGCCTCTTTGGTGCTCTCCAGAGTATAAACGTTCCAAGGCACTCTTTGGTCTCTCCTGGAGAAGTCACAAGGCACACAAAACACATGTTGTAATTAATACTTTATAAGAAGTACACAAAATAAAAACCTGACTCCTTCTCCTATCTCATTACTAAATTTTATTCTATTAACTTTGCATTTCTTTGGATATACTCTCTCAACTCCGTATTTCCTATTAGTAGTGCTGATTTTTGGTTCTAAACCTTGTTTTATAAATCTATTTGAAATGCAGTAAGTTGTTTGTCTGTTTTCCAGTTCATTGAAGAAAGTGAAGAATTGGAGACTTCCTTAGATCACAGCTCTTGCTCCTCTCCCAGGCTACTGCAATCCTACTTCTTGCTACATAAAATGTATTCTGGGCTTAACTATTCCAAGCAGTTCAGACATTTGGCTTCAGAAGCTTATTTAAAACTCACCTTGGACCTATCCCTTCGAAGTGTTGCAAACGATGAAATGGTAGATGACTGGTGCAATCTGGAAGTTGATCCAGACAAACCTTTATGAGGAAAAAGAAAATGCCTTAAAATCAAATGACAGACAGCATAAGACAAGTATCAGTCTAGGTTTTTAAATTTTATTATACTGTTTCTGTGGCATTCTGGTCACTATTTGAGCACACATTTTGCAACTCAGATGATCATAAGAGGCACGAAATTTCATTTCTGCCGGACACAGTAGCTTCAGGTTCCTACTGACTAAAAGTCAGAAAAATATATAATAATTTAGAAGCTTATATAAAATGAGGGATAGGCTGAACTCAGCTGTACAAGAGTAGATGGATGGTACAAATAATCACATCTATTAAGAAAATAAAACCTTAACATTCACAGTTAGAAATGAAGTAGTAAGAAGCAAATGGTTAAGAAATCATTTGCTTTTGGCCCAGAAAGCATCTCTATCCTCAAAACCAGTTGTAAAACAATAGCACAGTGGGGATGGAGTGTCAAGTCAGGTATAATGTTTGGAGCACTATATTCATCTACCTTATCACTTACATTTCAATGGCAATATAGGTATTTTAAAAACACTTGGACTTTGCAGAAGATAGCACAGAACTTATGAGGAAAAGTAACTCTGAATATAAGAGACATTCTAAGAGCCAATTCCATGTTTTGCTATGGGGGTTTTTAAGCCTTCTATATTAGATTGCTTTGCTAAAGGCTGATTGTTTGTAACAGCACCATTAAAATGCAAAAAATTTCTAAACTTCCACTGAATAGTTAATTTAAAAACAGTGACCTGGTGATAAAGATCATCTCCAGGAAGCCCTACAAGAGAAAAGCTCCTATGCAGACAGTACTGTTAGGGATCAATTCCATAAATTCCTGGCTTACCACGGGTAGGTAATGTCTGGTATCCACTGTCAGGGCTTATTAAAGCACTGGAAGGGTGGCTGAGGTCACCCCCTAACACTGCCAGCTCTGGCTCACTCATGTACGAACGCAGCTCCACCTAGACAGAAAAACACTCATCAGCTCAAGCGAAATCAGACAGCAAGTTTTAATAATCCTAAAACACATCCTAAAGTTTTGTTTCTGGGTTGCTACATCTTTCTCTGCCATCATTATTATATGGCATGGATCATTATTATTATGATGTCATTGTTATCTCTCTGCCATTCTATATCATGACTGCTTTATTAAAGGTCCATATATTTTACAGACAACAATAACATATTTTATTCCCATATCTTTGAAGTGCAGGGGTACAGGAGTGTGAGCGCTCACCCTGTAATCTCCATTTACATACTGGCCGAGCTCTCTGTCTCTCTTTCTCTCGTCCGACTGGCGCTTCAGGCCCCGCACCGAGGTGTGCCTGATGACAGTGGCTTCTCTGGGCAGGGGTGGGACAGCTGGGGGCTGATCCTCAGGGCTGTACAGCTGAGGGAGAGGAGGTCTGGGCGGTGCTTCATCTTCCTGGGAACAGGAGAACGCAGGGATTTGGCAAAGAGCATGAAAACAGTCTGGCACAAACTGCAAAATAAAGGCCAGTGCATTACGGGAAGCATTCGTGACTGCTTCAGTGTGCTCTCCTCTGTCCACTACAGAAGCTTGAGGCTTTAAAGACCAAGCAAGACCCAAGAAATCTACCACAAAGCATTTCCAAGGAAAGCTTTGAATATTAACACATTCTAAACCAGTCTATGGCCACTGTACAATAGGTTCCACATGTATTGTGCTCCAAGGGCTCAGCTCCAACACAAACACTCATTGCTGTGCCTTCACAATGTCTGCACTTCCCCCCCACGACACTCCCACTGCTCCCAACAGAGGGGAAATGCAAACACTGCTGAAGGAACCTCACCAGAGCAGCACTTACAACCTTTGGCTTGAGCTTGACTGGTGACTGAAGAGGTGGCTCGATTTTTTTCAGCTGCTGTGCTTGGTGCTGTGTCCTGGTCTGGAAGTAGGGCTGCGGGTACAGCCTGACCTCCAGGGGGGATTTCAGCGGGCTGCGCGGAGGGCTCTGCGCGACCGACAGCTTGCTCTCCACAGCAGCAAGGGAAGCTGGTAGGGAAGGCACTGAAGACTGAGAAAGTGAAGGCACTGTTTTTCTCTCTAGGGGAGAAATAGACAGAAACATGTCTTGATGAGGATCTAGCGAGTCTTTCAGACCAAAAATGAAACCACGTGGTTTGGTATCATCCCGTGAAATTCCTGGTGGAGGGCAGCGGGAGCAAAGGAAGGAGAAGCCTGGGAGTCATATGGAATCAGTCCATCAGCTGCATCTGGCCCCTTGCCACAGATTCCTGCAGGTCTAGACCATCTCAGAACTATTTTATCTCAGTATGTGAAAGGTGAGTTTTGCAGGAGGCGTGAACACACTCTTGCTGCCCCAACACATCAGGTCCTGTCTTTGAAACGGAATAAAGCCACTGCAGTGCAGACCACACGCACTCTGCCTCCCTCCCTTCCAGAGCTGATGTTGCTCTGCCCACCAAACACCTGCCTGAACAGGGAGGGGAAAGGCAACTGCAGCAAGGGCAGCTGGGCTGCATCCAAGGGGAAAAAACCCAATAAACCCAGAGAAAAACACAGAGAAAAGCTCCTGGACAGGATGCAGAACAGATACCACACTGGTAAGGGCCTGGCACCTGACAGGAACCCCTTCTGCAACTTGAAAAACGTAGCCCATTACTGTTATTGTTGTTCCCTTTTTTTATGGCCTGTTACATTTTGGAACCATTGGTATGTGAAAACAAACAAGGAAAAAACCTTTCTGTCCCCTCGGGCAAAGAAACACCAAGTTAATGCACTCAATCAACAGAGATTTCTGACACATCCAGCAGCAGAATTAACTGGATTTTCTGCAGCAGAACAAATTTCCAGGTTATTTGCACAGACCCAAAGACTCAGCTGCATTGGTATATTGTTTATTTTTTCATCATGTTCTCCTTACCTGGATTCTTTATAGAGTCTACTATGGTTTTGTAGTTTGCTTTGTTTGCACTCAAGCCAGCTGTAACATCTTCAATTCTCCACAAGTCTTTTTGTATTTGTGTTTTCTCCTGTTGTTTGCAATAAAAGGAAAAAAAATCAATTATACCTCAGTTTTAATTTATTATGGGCCTTTCCTTCTTTTGATACCACCAAAATACAATTACAGAACTTACATGAAAACCTAGGAGTTTAAAAATTAATCAAATAATTATTTTAAAATATAAATTTATAAAGACAAAACACTAAACAGATCTTGTCCATAAAATTTACTAAAGCATTTTCTGACTCTTGGAAGACTTTCTATAGAAGACAGGGGAAAAGACAAGTCTATATTTTTCTACAATATTGTTCGGACTACAAAAACATAGTTCAATGCTCTACATAAAATGAGTTTCCAGAACCTTTTAATTTTAACTTTTTTCTTAAATCCTATACCTATCAAACTTAAGATTGCTAAAGCAACCTTAAAAAACATCTCAATACTTTTAGGGGAAATATTCAGTATTAAAAAAGCAAAAAAAACAAACTCGGAAATGCTGACAATTTTAATTTCTGCTTATATTTGAGTTGTTAGGCCTACTGGCCAGGATGTATTACAAGCTAAAACAATATATTGCTGCTGCTCCAGGACTTGGTCTCATCTTGCATCCTATTTGCTTTACCAAGGCTTTTTTCCAGGAGGAAAGAAAGAAAGGGAAGCTTTGTCTACAGACTGAGCTGCATCACAGCCTGGTTCCATTTCATTCATTCCAATCATCTTAAATAGCTGCTGTCATCTAATTCATTAAAGCCTGCTAACACCGATTTCAAAAATTTGCATCAAGGATTAACTTGGTAAAACCAATACCATTAATGAAAGCGAAGGCAGTGAAACACTTAAGAATTGCTCACAAACTGCTCAAGAACTCCAGAAATTCATCAACTTGCCATGAGCTGCAAAATAGCTACTAATTAATCCTATAAGGCTGAGGGTGGGAAAAAACTTCAGTAGAAGCTGTTACACCTCATAGAGCTAAGGAAGGCATATAAATTGCTTTCCACTTTCTGTCTTAAATCAGGAAATATGTTCAGCCAGGTTACAGATCAGCAAACAGGGTGCCAAGAACACAAACATTTAAATGATGGAGAATGTTATTCGCCTGTAGTAAACTCACTCGATAGATAGGACATATTTTGAAAGATTGTCAGGACACAAACTATAAATTTGCACATTTCATTTCATTTTTCTGAGATTAATCATACTACAAGGAACCAAATGATGGATTTACAATAATCAAGCCTCAGAACTGGTGAAAAAAGCACTGAAAATCCTGCTTCTGAAACCACTCAGAAAATGTTTGATTAGCAATGTAGACAAGCCAGATCTTTTAATATTATTTCTTCCCATTACTTAAATATTGATGTGAAGAGAATATTTTAAATCTAAAATGGACTTCCGCCAAACGATGAGCAGATGAATTAATGTTAAAATTATGAAAGCCAAGACTGCTGTTTACAGAGGGGTATAAATACACTTTATTGGCAAGCAGGAAGAGGTAACTTGGAAAGAAAATTTTATTTCCCTAACTTCTTTCAAACAGAAACATAATTTGGACTGACATAAAGCCAGAGGAGAAACACTTACCAACTAAGAAGTTATGACTGATAAAATAACCCATCTCAGTTAAATTCAGCATGCCCAGATCCTCCCCAACCCTTCAGCAAAAGACAATTGTAGCTACATTCTAAAAAGCAAGATTCACTCTGACCAAGCTGCTTAAACATTTAAGTTTTAACCTCTTAATTAATGCTACATAGAAACAACATCAGTGGTCTCCTACAGCAACTTGAGCCTGCAAATGTACTGAATTTTTAATAATATTCCACGAAGACTACATTTTTTTTAAATACAGTGTGTATTAATTTAGTGCTATTGGAAAATGCTAGATAAACAATCTTGAGTCTACATGCCCTTGGGCAGAGATCAAAAAATTCTAACTATTATGGATACTTCAAGTAAGACTTCTTTGAAGGCATATAGTTTTTTTAGAATATTCAATACTTTCTGAAAAAATCAGTTCCCCTTAGAATCTCCAAAATAGGTATTCAGAAACATTTTTTTAAAACTTAGCCAAACATATCTGTGCATACTTATATGTATAGATGTATAAAAGTACACACACATATAACCGATAATGTGCTTATGGCTGTGTGTGTATTTATAATTAATCACTTATGTGATATGAGATGATAATCAAACTGAATTAACATTTTTTTCTGTGCAAACCACACTCCGTTCCATATGTATTGGTGAATCCCATGTCACACATGCAGTATTTTAAGCTTGTTTAACACCTAACTGGAAATTTTATCCCAAAGTAGTCTAAAAAGGTGTATTTTGTTTAAAGGTGTAATTTGCCTTTGTTAAACTGAGTAATTTCATACAAGGACCATTTTATTCTGATATTCCCCCAGGATTTTTTCTTTAAATGATACTCTACAGCTGAGCTCAATTACACATTCTGACTCCAGAAACTGAATCACTTCCCACACCCCAAAATGAAAAGTAGATGAAAATGTACTTTGATGATGGATGCAATCAAAAAAGGTTTTACAACTCTTGCTTTGATACTAACATTTATTCACTAATAGTGAAAATAAAAAGGCTTCAAATTATATCTGATCAGATACGTAATGCAAACAAGTTAAAATTTAACTAGTGAGCTCTTTTGGTCCAGGATATTTGGAAAAGTAGACTAAGATTTGAGGAAAATGTATATATTAACTGGGTTCCTTGTGTTCAGCTCACACAAAGGAAAAATTATCCAGTATTCCCTGAGAATAAAGTCATCAGCTGTAAGCAGGTATGTAGAAATAATCTGGTATTCCACATCCATTTCAGCAAAGAAAACAACTGAGCTTCAAACAAATCTTCTTTTTAAAATTTGAAACTGAATAATTGATTTAAAACTGAGATGCCTTTCAATTACTGATGGCTGTTAAACACTTATTCCAATTCACAAAACAATCTGTAGAGATAAATCTTCCATAAATAGAAGAACATGACAAAGAACAAGTAATGACAATAACAACCAGCGACTGATGCTCTTAAAAATGGATAAAGAAGCCAACAATGTCAGATCAAATAAATGGAAGGCTAAGAAGTCCTGCACAGTCTTATAAATTGAATAGGTTATCAATGTCAAGATGTCAGCATCTAATAAAAACGTAATAAAATAATGACAAATTTGCATAGACAACTTATGAGAAACTATGGCAGTACTGCATGTGCTGCAAGACAATGCAGTGGTTTTCTCATTGCACACTCACATCCCACAGTGCCTGAACTCTGCAAACCACATTACATGGCAGCTGAACACACTGCAAAAATGGCAGAGGAAATTTCTCTTATGAAATGGTAACTTGAAGTTCAGACTAAACCATCCTCCAAGTGTTTACAGTGTCAGGAAGTGGACTCACCTGAGATACCAATGAACTGTTCATCTGCTCCTGTAAGGCTTTTTTCAGCTGGCTCACATCCTTCTCTAATTTCAGATACTCATTCCAGGCATTTTCCATCTCCTGTTAACAGAAGGAATACTCTAATACAGTGCTAACTTCAAAACCACTTTCTCCATCCTCTAATTGAACACAAAGAGTTTTGAAGTTACTGTTGTTCTATTACAAAAAGAAGTAAAGAATCCATTTCAGTCTACATTGTTGCTGAGACTTGATTATACACCAGAAAACCCTTCATAGCTTGCACGATCAAGTCAAGAATCTATAGTTAAAAACCTCTGGCCAGCTTCCTGACACAAAGCCAAATTGGCATGTAACAGAATCCCTGCACCAGCACAGCCCTTTTTCCAGTGACTTGCTATTTATGCACACAAATACATTTTACGTGCTGACTGTGGAAGTCATACATTTTCTACAGACACAAACTGACTAGATACATTTAAATAATACTGTCATTTTGGTGATCAGACCTTACTATAGGGAAGCTCCTCATGCAATTTTAGAAACTGTCTTACAAAGATCTACTCTTATTCATGAAGAGGCAGTAATAATACAGTGAAAAAACATTAAATTACATTTGAATTTCACTAAGTTATAATATGAACGGTAAATTTTTACTGAAATATCAACAGATTTTCCCAACTCCTTTTACCATGAAAAACATCCTGGAATCACACTTATATTTTCAAAGGACTAGCTGAAAGATTTGCAATTTAAACCCACACTTAACACATAAATACATTGAAAAGTTTAGGGGTTTTTGTTTGGTTTGGGGGCATGACAGGCAGGCATTGAAAAGCAAAGCTGGTGAGATTGTTTAATTTTGTCTGGTTTAGTATCCTGTACCTTAACCAAAACTGTTCAGAACAGGTCTTAATTCCCCCATCCAATGACTAGCACAGTTTTAGTCTAACTGGGATTTTAATTCTGGTTTTCTTGAAGCAACTAAACACACATACCGTTGAAACTTTGGATATTTCAGCCCGAATATGTATAAGGTCCTCCTGCAAAAGTCTCTGCTGGTAAGATATTTTTTCTGCATGTTGTGGTTGGTCTTTGTACTGATCCATCTGCCTGTGCAAAACCTCCAAAACAGACTCCAGCTGATCCTAACAAAGAAGACAGCAGTAAGTTCACAACATTTACATGGAAATTTATGCACCCACTTGCAGGAATATGAAAGGTGTTTTCCCTGCCCCAAGTCTTCCCTACAAACCAACAGAGGTTAGGATTGGCCTCCTGTTTTGGAGATTCATATGAAAACAAAAACTGCAAGAGCCTTTATTACCTATTGCATCCAAAATTATCTGATATTTTCTGTTAAATCTTCCTATTAAGCAGCCAAAACCATTGAGAACACAAAGCAGTGAGAGGGGAATTCTTCTGTTTACCCTCAGTACAAAAGTGTAATTTACAGTTTCAGAAGAATTCCCTTAAGCAGTACAGAACTATGACAGCCCTACCACAGCCCAGCATGAGCTTTTGTTTAAGGACACGTTCTCCTTCACTGCTGTGGGTGAAACAGGCATGTGAGGATTTAAAATATTGTGCAAAACATGCAAGAGGCCCAATTCATTTAGTCAGGAGTAAATAATGGAATTAATTTTGCACAGTAGCTCTTCCACAGGATCCACCTGAACAGCACTTTCATTTCAGGATATATACATTTTTTATTATTAATTTTTCAATAACCACCTCAGTTTATTGACAGCTATAGCTCACAGGAAGTGAAGCAGATGGGTTTAAAACATTCACTTTCTCTCAGAATGGGTACTCAATCCTGAAATGAAACCTAGTTCTTGCTATCATAGAAGTATACACACAATACAGTGCAATCATCAGCCATTAATTCAATTTATTGTTTATAATTTCATATTGTATACTTCATGATTGGATCAAAGTTTCTGTTTTGTTTTACTAAGCCCTTTTTAACCTACTTACTTTATTTTCCTTAAGGGCTCTTATTTTGTCCTCCAAGTCCTGCAGAATTCTGTCCTGCTCACAGAAAACACTCAGTTTCACCTGGAAATGAAATCGTATACACACATAAGGTTAGATTTTAAAAACCAAGCAGAAAAGTATCCCCTCGCAATATTTCACCCCAAGATGCATAATAATGATCATGTAACTGTACAAAAGCAATAGACAAACCAGTGCAAGAGGTGCTGAAGTGGTGTTTGATACTTACATCAATATCACTTTCTGCAACCTTGACAGGTTTTGCACTTCTTTCTTTCAATGTGTCACGTCCTGTCACCTAAGAGGAACAGATTTTCAAAATGTAAGAAATTTGTAGCAAACTAAAACCTAATGATGCTTCAGCAGTGAAAAGAAAGCTTTTGTTTAATATTCACTTTTATTAAGAAAGAAAAAAAAGGATACAAGTATTTTGAAACCTGGCTTTAGTTTTTGAGAAGTGTTAACAAAAGGGTTTACTAGTTACATTAAGCTATTTAGTAATTCTTCCAGCAGCTTGGATTCCTGTACAAAACAGCATAATCCCACCTGTCTCTGGTTACAAAAGTCCTTTTCCTGCAAGATCTAGTAGTTTTAGCAGTTCTGCTCTAATAGCCTTCTTGAAGCCAAAGGAAGGGAATCGTTCATTTAAATGCATGGTTGCAACAATAGCAGCACTCATGAATGACTAAAAATATAACTTTTGGCAAGTGTTTCATTCTGCAAAGGACAGTATCTTCCTCAGCACAGGGTGGATTTTACTAAAGACAGACTGCTATAGAAATGCTATAGTGGAATTAAATGTAATTAATCTATTTTGACATGGCTGTCATGTACCAAATCTCTCATTCCATAAATCACTGGTTTCATATTCCATTTCTGGCGAGACTGTCTTCTCACAAAACAGTTTTGGAATCAGTACCAAAACAATACTCAATTGTACTTCCGACCTTCACATCAACCTTTACAATTAAGGCATGTCTGTGTCTGTAGAAATGTTTATTATTTCCACTGCCTATACAGGACCCTCTTTGTGAATAGATGAGGTTAAGAAAAGAGCAATGCAATAAAGCTCATAAATAACACATTTTTAAAAAGCCTTAAAATCTAATGATTTAATATCACCTCTTTGGAACACTTTTAAAGATTCATTAGAGCAAATACTGTCTTAGCACAGGACCAGTTGGTGATTAGTAGTATTCATATACAGCATATTCTTATTCATATACAGGCAAAAGTTTAAGAAGAAAAATTCACCTCAACATTGTCTTCAGTAATATAAGAGGAGAGATTTTGATACAAAAGCTGAATTTGTTGGCTTTTTTTAGTGAGGTAAGAGGGGTATAAAGAGGCAGTTTGCTTTTTTACCAACTGGCAATCTCCAGACTTGAAGCTACATATTTTACTTATTAACCTAAGTGTCACCTACAGGACCATGTTAGCTTTTTAAAAGTAATTAAATTTTACCCTAAGTGAGGTAAATATCATCTTCTCTCCTCCAGTGGCAGACTCCATTTAAAGACTTCTCATTTACTCTTGAGCAGTAAAATATTACTTCTGCACCACCAAAACCAATAGTATTTATTGCCTCTAGAAGCTTTCAATTTTTTTATTTTTTTTTCAACAATTACATGTTATATAGAAGAAAAAAGCATTTTTCAAAATTATTAATGAAATTATTTAAATGCTAAATCCTACAGATAATTGTAACAATAATTAAATATAAACATAAAATACCAGCATATCAAAAGTAATAATTCTGCATATTTAATTACCTGCAAGCTAAGGCAATGCAAAAGCCTTTTTCAAAGCAACAGAATTAACATAAAAACACATCTACAGAATCTGGGGATACTTTAAATTACTCAATCAGAACTGTAAGGAATTTGTTAACTATCAAGCAGAGAACATGACAACATAATGAGGATTAAGCATGCTTTAACATTTTCCAAATTCCACACAGGAGTCACTACTTGACACATTCATTTCCAAAACATGATAAAATGAAACCAAACACTGAGGTCAGCCATAATTTCGCATACAGACTCTAAAAGAGGGGGGAAAAATAAAGAAGTAAAAATAAAATCTTACAGAAAGCACTACTGTGCGCCAAAAGACACCTGTAAAAGCCAGAACACTGACTGCTACTTGAAAAAGCGATGGGATGAGCACATTTCAATGCAAGCAGTCTTACATGTATACTGGATAGTAACCCTTGTGCTGAGTTCTTTAGCACTTTGTATATCATGTTGATCAGAGGTCCATTATTTTCTATCTGTTTCAAACAAAAGTTTAGTCATAGCTTGTTACAGACGGCAAGACTTAAACCCCCAAACCTCAGAACTCAAAACTCCACGAGCAGCAGTGATCACACACTCCCAGGTCACACCTAAGCACTCTGCAGTTAACTGCTCAACCACAATTCCACGCTGAAAAGTTCTATTTCAAAATCTCTAAGAAAGAAATAATGGATTTAATGGGGGAAAAAAAAAAAAAAGTTTAACTCCAGTTCCAAAATGTTCAGTCCTAATTGAAATTGTTTAACCAGGGTGGGTCTAATTCAAAGCCCAGTGTAGTCAAAAGAGATACCTGAAATAATTGGCTTTCTATCTAAATTTCCAGTGTCTTAAATGCAAGATATTATATACACGAACTGGGAATTTGCTGTTACTAAAATCTGTATAATTTTCTTCCTTTCATGCAGTGCACTGTTTATTCCTTGTATCACAAATCAAAGCATTGCTAGATTTAGTGGCAAAGCACAAATGTAACCTATACAGGGACACCTTCTCCAGTTTCACATGGGCTCTTTAATCTCTCAGCAACCTGACCTGAAATTTTACATTTCTGGACCACGACTGAAAGAAGGTTATTAAGAAATGCCCATTTTGAAAATTTACATCACTCATTTGGAAATACATTTGACATTTTGAGTGTCAAGATTTTCAGAAGGAAACTAGCTGGCATTAAAAGTTTCTTTGCACAGAAGTACCAGGTGCCCCCTTACAATTTTTCTTTCTGGCTGCTTTTGTTAGGTACTACAAGCAGTAGGAAGGCACAAGGGGAGCTCTAAGAGACCAAATACGTCTTCATGCTCCAGACTGCAACAAATTAATCTGGACAGAATCCACCAAAAAGTTAAGAACCATCCCCCTAGAATTTTGCTAAGCACATCACATTTTCAGAAGCTTGACCTGTGGTCACTTCAACTATGAAAATTTTTATGCTTTATAATGGAAAAAAGACTATGATTATTAATAATTTCTCACCTTGTAGGACTTATAAAACTGTAATTTGTCATAAAATTCATCTGATGGCTTGGGCTGCAGTTACATTTGTCAAAGCCCTGAACAAATCAAGGACAAGGCTTAAAACGAAATGTGTCCAACCAATTTTAAATTTGTATATTAATGACTCCAACAGTTTACATATTTGATCATTTAGACTACATATATACCACCTATACTATATGCTAAATACATATATGGTTCTATAGTAATATTTTCCATGTATTTATTTGGTTATATATTCAGGAATTTAAACATCAGACAAGACTGAAATACACATCCTCATAGGTGCAATCAGCTCACAGGCAACACCCCATGGCATCAGTGAGCTCTGTACATGCAAACCAGATAGACAACAAGGTGTCAAATTTCCCTTCACCGTCATTTTCAGGAGCACCACGTGATTTATATATGGCAAGACATCCTACATCCCACAGAAAGTGGCAAACTACCTTACTAAGCAAAACAATTATATCTTTTTGCTGAGTTTTTTCCCCTTCAAAACCTCATACCAAGAATTCTAGATTTGCTTTCAAATTGCCAACCATCAAGTGTACCAGACACAGAAGTCATTTAGACAGATGATAGGACCCTCAGTATAATATTAATTCTTTTTCAAAAAGAAATACCTCCTAACATTACTTGATCAGATTCTCTCTATGGATGGATGGATGAATGGGTGCATTTGAAATCTTTTAGCTGTAATAAGATGAAAACAGTGACAGTGCTAATTAATCACATTTTCACAAGAACATATGGTACATTATACAAATAATGGAAAAGTCAGTCTAAGAAGATTTAAAGGGGAAAAGCTGGATTAAAAGAACACGAGTTTTAACTTAGAGGTGTTGACTTCATATTAGTACTAATGCTACAGCAGATAAATACTTTCAATCTGTTTTTTTCTCTGATTTCCCTAAATCCACATATCATCCATCTCAGTACCAGGAACAAAAATTGTTCTTAAAGCAACCACATTTTCTGAGTTTCCACTTTAATTGTATAGTCACTACTAAAAAGACACTCAATACTCTAAGCACAAACAAAAGACAGTTTCCATCTCAGACTAGAAAGTGACTTTAAAATTTACAGGTACAAACACAATGCAAAAGAGACAACTGGGTTGAAAAAAAGATAAAAAATTAAGTAGACTCATCTAAAAACCTTACCTTTAGATCCAAATACTCCAGATCCTTTTTCAACTGGATGTAAGTGTCATCCGCCTTCAGGCAAGTACATAGGGAAAAAACAGTGCAATAGATTTGAATGTTTGGAACCATTTCAGAATAGTTGGACTTGCTATATACAAGAAAACATGGAAGAGAGAACAAAATAACAGAGTAGGAGCACATAAAAAAGCACATTTGCTCCACCAGCATATTGTTATTTACAGCTAAAAAATGGGCAAGATATTTCCCAAGAGCATTACTGCCTCAATAACCCCCTTCCAAACACCTAGATTTTTGTTTCTACCTCTAATAAGACACGGAGCTATCTGAAACAATACATCTTCAAAAGCTGTTTTTTCAAGATCAATTTGCACTGACTAGCCCTTCACTGAAAAAGTTACAGTGGTGTGACTGAATGACAGACATCATATACCACTAGAATACTTTTGATCACAATTTACATGCATTTTAAGATATTAATTCCTTTATTCAGGGAAAGTATGAAATAAGTTTTGGGAATAAAATTCTGAAAAATATCTCATTTATATGATTAGACAATCCATTTTGTCTTTTAAGTAACAGCATTAAAGCTGATCCTTATTTTTCAATGCCTCACCTGTGATTGCTATCAGCTTAATCTTATAGTAACACTCATCGAGCAACATCTTTATTACAGTCCCTTCAAGGAAAACATGCACAGAAGTCATAACAAAGTTATTTCTCCTCTCTTGAAAGGGGATATTTGCAAAACAAAATAAAGTTCAACTATTGCAAATGTGCTACTTGTAGTTCTATTGCAAATGTGCTACTTGTAGTTAGCCAAAATGCCCAAAACTTCCTAGAATTTTAGCTGCTATTTTGTCAGCATTTCATATCCTGGGTGCAATTAACTTCAGAATAAAAGAAAAACACAACTATACCTTTTCTCAAGTTTTGAGCCAATGAGAATGTGTAGTTAGAAAAAGAAAAGAAAAACCCTTTATGCCATAAAATTAATAGATAACACTTGCATTTCTTTAGAGGTGGTCACTTACAATTCTTGTCAGATCAGCTTGTAAGACTGGCTGAGGACTTGACTAGAAAGTATGCCCATTTTAGGAGAAATCCCTGTTATTACCACCCATCTTAGTGCAATTGTTCTGTAGGTGAGGTAATCAGGAAATGAAACTTCTTCAATTCCAAAAAAATCACTTTAGTTTTGGGCCAAAGCCTTCACCAATTCCAAGAAGAGTCACCAGATTTTATTCCCAGGTGGCTCCATTTTTGAGGCTCTAACAGGAACTGGAGAGCTCTGTGAGTACATCTCTGTTTGATTTCACATTTACACGTTTCACACACCAGTGCAATCAAGAGCACCATAGATGATCCAAGACGCTCCTGAGCTTTTATGAACCAGTGTTCACCTGCAGAACTGACACAGTTACAAGCTCATATGAATGTACAGACTCGCTGATGCATTTCAATTTGCAGGTGATGCAGCACGTGGCACAGGGAGCCAACCCCACCATGAAAGCAGCACAAAGAAATGGGTTTGCTTCAGAATGAACTTATACATAGTATTTGAACCCACATTTCTGAAGATGCAGCATTTTCAGAAATAGTATAAATACACAGTATAAAAAGGAAGTAGACACTTTGAAACAGATGCACTGGCGACCTGTAACTTAAAAATGCTCATCTCTTATAGCAAATACAGTAAGCAAAGAAAAACCGCAAACGACCTGGGCACTGTAGAATACCAAAGAATGGGCAAGGAAGCACAGACTCAAGCATGCCACTAATGAAGCATTTGCAGAGTCACAAAATGTCACAGATGAGCCACGCAGCAGCTGACCTGATAGGTGGAATTAGTTGGCAAGTGCTGCAGTAACTGAGCGATTGTGTAATTTCTTATACTAGCCAACTTAGCCTGATGTCTCCTTAATCGAATGAGAAGCAATGTTAGCTCTTCAGGCTGCAGGTATTTAGACACATTGTAAAGAGGAAATTAGCAGTCTTCAGGGAGAGGAACTATAATTACATTTTTCACCTCAGTGCCCAGAAAGCAGTTACTTGACATGATTAAGCAATTATTTAATTAACTCTGCATTTGGTCAAACAAACATAATAAAACTTGAATCCTGTAATAACAGAAAGCTCACCCCTGCTCACGTTGCAGATAAAGGCAAAAATCCTATAGGCTTTACTGGGTTAAGATTAAGTTCTCATTCGAGTTATTTATGCTTTAACTGCTAAAGTTAAGATTAAAGACTATGGATTTCAAAACCTGGCTGCAGCAGTGGGAGGACAGGAGAGGAGCCATGCTCTGCACTTACCGACTTGCCGTGCAGGCTGGGCGCGCTCACCGTGTGTGTCATGTAGCCCATGGCAGGCATGGAGCGCCGATCCAGGTGGGTGGAGCTCTGCAAGGATCCACAGCCACAAGGTAAGGGTTGTGCCAAGTGCCAGCTGCGGCAAATTCACTCTGCAGCTCTGCCACAAGTCTTCTATTTAAACTCATGGCGCGCTTAGAAAAGGGTAACGCACACTGGCCAGCCCGATCCTTTGATGATTAAAAACGTATGAATGAACAAACACAAATTCAGCACCTGTGATGCTGGGCAGAGCAGTGGATCGTGGCAGCATGAGATGCTTCAGGAGGACGTGCATTGTAGCTTTCAGAAAATTTTTTAAAAGTCCATCAAGTTCCCCCTCAACACAATGTCTCCTAGAAAAAGGTTTGTTTGGATGATGCCTGTCAGACATTTTTTCATAAAAATCCTCTCTTTGGGATTTTTCCTCTTCTGGGAAGCTGAGGCTTCAGAAAGAGAATGTAAACAATAATTATCTGCTGATGTGAAATGCAATAGGTGCACCTGTGATTGGCTCATGTTCCATGTTTACAATTAAGGGTCAATCACAGGACCAAGCTCGGGGACAGATTCTCAAAGAGCTCTCTTGTTTGTAGATTCCTAGGCTATTCTTAGCTTAGCAGCTTCTGAAACTTTTCTCTCTATTCCTTTTAATATAGTCATAATGCATCTTATATCATAAATTAATAAATCCAGCCTTCTGATCATGAAGCAAGGTTCTTGTCTATCTCTCTCACCCTGAGGAACCCTCACAAGTCATGTAATAGATGCCCTTCCACAGCAGGCTCGTACTGCACACAGTAACAACTGTGAATGCTCTCTTTTAGCCAGGGAACGTGAAGCTACTGACATGACTGACACCTTGTGGCAATGGCTTCCATCAATACCAAGGGGTTTTTTTAATAATCATCTTTGATCTGCCCCTTTCTGCTTACAATAACAAAGCCTACTGCACACTCATTCTGTCATCTTTCTCTTAAAGCCAAAGTTCTATGGGTTCTTCAAGGCAAAATTAATGTCCCAGTTATTTTTATTCCCATCTCTGAATTCCACTGAATTTGCCTCACCTGCCTTGTTGGGTTTTTTTTAAGTGCAACTGGATGGAATTTAATAAAGCAGTACAGGGAGCGTGCAGTATCACAGATTAATGCAGACACATTTAAATGCAGAATGATGCATAGAAAAACATGAGCATTTTTCTCTACAAACTTTCTCAGAAGTTCCACAGAGAAGTTTTCATGATGAGAAACCATGTTCCCCAATACTGGTAAAGCCAAGATGCCATGAAAAGAGTTTAAAATTTATGCAGTTCCATTGCACAGGAAAGGAAAAGACTGCTGTGCATGCCTTTGGAAGGCTGTAATGCTCCTTCAACTTACACGTGAAGACACCAATGTGTGGTAGAATATAATCAGGAGTTAAAAGTATTAATTTCCAGTTCTGCAAATGACGAGACTATTTCACCCTCTGACAGAATACTATAAATCTATAAATGCTGAAAGACACCCAACAGCTACACCACATACACTAGGAAAAAAATCTAAACTGTGCATGAAGCTGCAGCCTAAAGTCATGGTCCTAAACTCACATTGGGTATCTGGATTTACAAGTCTCTCCTTTTGCAAATAACTTCCCTTATCAGAGCCCACGGCTGAGGTTGAAGAATTAAGTGAATACAGAGGATTTCAATACCAATTATTCCAAGTCTACCAAGAGAAATTAGTCCTTCATTGATCCCACACAAATTTCCCCAAATTCCTTAGGCAAGGAGAGCATTTAGAGTACTGAATAGGGAAACCTTTGTGACCTCTGGATAAAAGGGTACAAAAGTCTCTAGAAAAAACCCTCATACTGAAACTATTCAGAAAGGTGAAGCTTCAGACCAACACTATTTGAATTGAATCAGAAAAACACTATATTGAATTAGCCCACTGATTAAGACTCTGCAATGGACCTAAAATATTAATATATGTATTAACATATGTAATAATAATAAAATTGGTTTTACCATAACTAAAACCAGACTCAGCTGTATACAACTACAATAGCAAAACATGTAGAGAAAGCAGGCACAGCAAACACAAAGCTACAAGCAAAAATAAACTGCTGAGTTTCCTATTCTTGCCTTCATACTCTCTACATTAAAATACTACCATCTGTTCATTTTATACATGTAAGATATGCCTTCCTGTTTTTTATTAAAAGTACTCCAATGTGCCACCAACTTTTCTTTCCTAACCAACGAAAGTTAATTAATCTGATCAGAATGGCAAGAGCTTGAGGAGAAAATTATTCCTTGTATTAGCTTTTACAACTCACGTGATCTTTCACACACAAGGAAGGATGCAATGAACCACAACTACATAAACCCCCCCATGCGTGACACCACGTGTAGAGCGGTTTGGGATCACTTAAACGGATACCAACCTTTACAGCACGATTCCGAATCTTCCTGGGGGATCCAGCAAGAGGAACATCCACAGTCTGTCTCTCATCAGATGGTTTAACCGTGAGCCTTTCTGCAGGAGTATGTGGCCTCCGTGGGAGAAAGTTTTTTGGAGGTCCAGGCGGAGGAATATCAGACGGAGAGGGCGGAACAGATATGGACCGTGGAACATCTAAGGAGCTTTTTGACTTAGCACGGTCCATGAAGTCTGAGGAACCCGCATAAAGTGGGGCTGTGGGGCTGCCGTGTTTGAACTGCTGCCTCTGCTGCCACTCATACAGCTGCCAAACAGTTCCATCCTTGTTTGCCTTCCTCTCCTCCTGGGACATCTTCAAGTGGCTGACGCGATCCTGCGCATACTTGTAGTCACTCGGCAGATTGCGGTTTGGTGGTGGTGGTGAGCTCCCTGAAGGCTGCCTGGTATTCTTTGGCAAAGTGTGATAGTTCTCAGGAAAAGGAGGATTGGGACCCTGACGTGTAAGAGTCTGATCTGAAGTGATGCTGGGAAAAAAAAAAAAAGGGAAGAAAATGGTAAATTTTAGCACACACTGATGAGTGGGAGTGACTGATAAAAAACCACCTCTAATGACATAACCATTGGAGCTACAAGACACATAACAGACATTTTAACAGAATTTAGAGAAATATTAACAAAGCAATATTAATGTCATATAATATGTCAATATTAATGTCATATAATGTAATATAACTACAAAGCAATATTAATGTAATATAATGTAATATAACTACTTGAAACAAACTTAAGGAACGGCAGCATTATGTACTTGAATTAAAAAGAAAGTCAAGAACATGAAGAACGGAATTATTTTCATGTCTATCTAGCGAGTCTGTAAACTAAAATATTCCTCTTCACAGAAAGTGTGCTCACCACTAGGTGGTGCAGTTTACGAAAACAAAAGCATGTTCAATATAAATATCTTTAAAAGCAAGAAGAAATCTCACCAATCCCAGAATATCTCATATAGTTTTTGTTCAGGTGAATGAAGCAAAAAGAAAGCAAATTATAAGAAACTGCTTGAAGTCTGCAGGTCTTTATGATTATTTTCACCAAAAAACAGTGAAATTGCTACTGGTTCTACTGATTTGAGCAACAGGAGACTTGTTACAACAAAGGTCATTGACAAATTAGAATATAAAAAGAAGTATTACATCCTGGCTTTAGTACTGGACCCATAAAACACTTAAGCTCGACAAACTAGATATTTTAGTAGGTAGTGTTAAGACAGAATTGGCAAAAGTTTTGACAAAGCCTAGTTAGCTCCCTCTCCTCCTTTGAAGACAAAATCTTTCTGTAGCCTGCCTGTCTAATTTCTGATTCTTCCATCAAATATCTGGGGGTTTTGTACTTGGAGTCATTTTCCCATTGATTCAGAATCTCCAAAGAGAAAACAATTCGGGCTAGGCTTGCTACAAAGCATCAACACCAAAAAAACCAAAATTAAAAAAACCAACCCAGCACAAAACCACACAAACAAAGAAACTCCAAGCATCTTTTCTTCACTTCAGTCAATAAGTTCCACTCTGCATGAGAGGAAGACCTCATGTTTTGGAAATTGCAGGAATTCCACATGGAAAAAAGGCCAGGATGGAAAAGAACATCTTTGTTCAGCATCCAAGAATAACTGAAACGAGGAGGAATAATTGCTACCAGCAACTGCTGCTCAGTAGTTGCCACCATCCCTTTTTACTTGCAGGATTTGACACTGTTGGACTACCCTGAAATATGGATAATCTCAAGAGGATACAAAATTCCTCAGGCCAGCAAGTAGAATAATTGCCTGCACTGCCTGGAGGGTTACAAATCTGTAAAGGCTCTGCTCTCTCATACCACAAAATCTTGATATTACCTTGAATTTCAGAGAGAAGGTTAAAGCAGGCAGGTAGTATGAACACAGGCAACTCAAAGACCAGCATACAGTGGTCATGGAACCTCTTTTAATTCTCTAATTCATTGCATTATGTGCACTTTGAATGCGCTGTACTTTGCTGCCAATTTTTTCCACATGAAAACATGTGGTAGAAAGTTGGTAGAAATGTATTTCCTCTAGATAGCAATAAGAATCAAGAATGCTTGGAGCAGATAATGCTTCAAAAGGACATCTGAGGCAGCCATGAAACTAAGACGGATTCCTTTGGTGGTTCCTCAGTGGAAAAACAGGGAAGGGGGACTTGACCCCTCCTATATCCCAATTTAGTAAGGACCTCATGAAGGCCTAAGCACACTATCAGATGTTGCAAACCACCTGTGTGTAATCATTTTCTAACTGGACATTAAAAGGCAGAATATTGAGATCAGCTGGAATTGGTGACAGTCAATGAAGCCACCAGGGCTGGCAACTTTAGGAGCAAAACCAACCTGAAAACAAAGACAACATGAGTTTTGTTGGGGCAAGGGGAGACATGCCTTCCTTCTAGAAAAAGATGAGGTTTTTTGAGAAGAACTAAAAACTGTTATTTTGAAAGCAGTACGTGGAGCAGCTGATATGAGCCACTTTCATGCAATACTTCAGCCTGCTATAAAAAGAGAACAAAGTTGAATGTGGATAACATTGCGCAGGGAAAGTCACATTCAGAGCTGAACTTTGGAGGCAACTGCCTACATACAGGCACATTGTGTTTTCTCAGTATCTGAAGAAACCTAGGGAGAAACCTCAAGCTGAGATGACAGGCTTTAAGCTGGTGGCATCTCTACCACACAAGGTTTGAGATGCTTGAGAGATCATTTGCATCATATAAAAATAGGCTCTAAGACGACACACAAACTTCTAGGTAATGAACCATGTCCCAAATGACTCAAATTAGTCCACAAGGGATTATTGCTTTCTTGGAGGTTAAGAGCTAAAGTCAGCAAAAGCAGCTGTTCTTGAACATCTCCTTCATTTGAATGATGAGGTATGGAGAACATAAAAAGGAAAGCAGACATTAAAGAGTGCATAAATGGCCTGATCCCTTATTATATGACCATTGGCCATGAAAACCTTCAGGGACTTTAATGGGAAGCAATCACATAGAAGATATTGTAAAAAGAGAAGAAAGATCTTCAAAAGTCAACAAGTACTATTATTAGAAACACTGTGCCCATTCATGGGAATGCACAGAAGTTAACAAAGACAAGTAATGTTTCTTCCTTAAGCAAATCAGGAAGGAACAGAAAGTTCTGCATAACAAGAAAGGTTTTAACACCATTTGCAAGGAAGGAAGTATCTCAACATGACTGCATCTAGTGAGGAAATATTAAGCTTAATTGGATTTATATATTTCTAAAATGCAAGTAAACTCTTAGAAATAGCAAATTGTTTACAATTATGCACTAAGTTTATATGGGCACTGGAACCAGATCAAAACTTAACAATTTCTGAACAGCTGCCATTTGATGGTCCTGACCTTGACCTTTAATTACTAAAAGGCAAAACCTCCTGAAAGCCCCCTTTCAAACCTTCTTCCAATTCTTGAGATCTCTCTGAAAGGCTGTTATGAATCTTACCAAAGCAGGTATTCCCATCTGCTGAGAGCAGAGTGGGATTGGATGGCTACACTGGATGTCACTGGAGTGCAGCTGAGGGGTCACCAAGAGAGGTGGGTCCCCAAAGGGACAGCTAACACCTACAACTCAGCAAGGGAGTGCTTCATTAAAAAGGGAAGTAAAACATCTATTTGAAAGGTCTGAAGATCTATATAAAAGGTGCCATTCCTACAAGCAGTCACATGAACAACCTCAGTATTTGTGTAAGAACCCTTTAGCTGAAAGGTTTCTTTCTTGTCATAAGCAACTTTCTGTACACACCTGAGCCAGGAAACAAATAAAAACTGTACTCATTCTGTGTTCAAGAACTACCCAGCCCTCTGAATCCACAGAGGTTCTCTATTTGTAACGTTTCAGCTGGAATATCAATCAAGGTGGAGCTTTAAAAAATTAAGTGCTCTACTACTACCTTCTAAAATCAAAACAAAACGCCAATCAAATCATCATCTCTAGCTTAAATTTCTACACCATGCAATCAGGAAGATATTTGACAACTAATATTCCACTTCTATCCATCATTTAACAACACTGCAGAAACTCAGCAGGCTAAGAGAAGGTGCCATTTAAAAGATGAGTCTGTTAATCTCTGGGAAGGTAAAATGCAATTTATCCTGAATGCAGAGAATATGATGGCATTTGTCAGGAAAAGGCAAGGAAAACAAGGTCAACTGAGCCAAAATAGCCATTTTTAGAGATATGTATATGCAGATATAGAGCTATATCTAGAAACAGATACACACAGACATACATACATACATCTATCTTTATTTTCACTGAATATTTAGCAGCTGCAGCTGGTTTCTTCTAGAACAAAGCCTGGCACCTGCAACAACACTATCTTAACACTGCACCTAAAACACACCCTTAAAGTTAATATACTGGAAAAAGTAATTTGGAAGAAAACCATACTTATTTAGCCATCAGTCAAGCCTGCCACTGCCAGGACTTCTGATGTAAAAAACATCAGCAGAAGCTTTTTAAGCATTAGCTCATTAGCTCAATTGGTTTCTGTATTATTTCAGGGAAATCAATGTGTGTAATAAGAACTAACTCACCAAGTACATTTTTTCATTAAACTCTCATTCTTTTGGAAAGTCCTGATTGATATCCAAGTAAAAAAGTATGGAAGTTAATTTACTCTAGCAGTTCAAAAGAATATTAAATAATATAAAAAAGTAAGAAAGCTTCTTCAAGGGTAATTTCAAAAATAAAAGAGTAGAAGAATGGACTTCCACACAAAAATAGGAAGCCTTAAACATCTTACTGGCTCCAATTGACATTAGCTTAAAAAATAATTTTTAAAAATTCCCAAAATGTTTTCTCCATCCTAAAAACCACATGCCAATATCTCTTGTTTGTTTATACTATAATTTGATTTGAGCAGATTTATAAAACACTAATTCAGTAGAATAAGCATATTTGACAAATTCTCACAAGCAGCATCAAGCCCAACTGTTTTTCCTGCCACTTGACACAAGGGGACATTCTGAGCAGACACACATATTCATCACTTCAGTTCTCCAACTGGTACTTAATCTGACTTTGAAAGCAAAACAATTATGAGATTTTCGAACTACAAAAGCATTCCAGTGTGCATTTCACCTATTGGTACTATTAATGTAATTTTCAGGGACTGAAAATGGAAAAGAGAATCCCAGAGACCATCCTAGGATGTCTTCATTAACTAAATGAATATATAGAGATCTTTCAGTATGTGATACAGACACTGTGACTCTGAGTGCAGTGATCTGACATAGAGCAGTGAATGTGTCTTTGGAACAGGAATAGAAGAAAGAAGGGAAGTAATGAGCATAATGCTTCAAAAGGACATCATCTTTATGTCTTGAAGTGGAAAACAATTACCTGTAACTTACATTGTGTAATTGTTCATGAATAAGAGGTAACTGAGGGTTGCACTTCACGTTCTGGCTCTTCAAAATTTAAGCAAATTTTAAGTAGTTTTAAGCATCCACAGTGATTAAAAGAAGGAAAATAAAATAGCATGCTAATCTCACTTATTCTATTTGCAATACTGTGACAATATTAAAGAGATTTGATTAGCAAATCCCATATTGGCTTTCCCAGGAGATAAGTGCCTGAAAAATACCATACTGCACCAAAGGAAAAAGTAAGTCTTCTTACATATTGTCTCTGTAAAATATTGTTCAGATTTGCACCACAGGTATTACTAACACACATTTTCCTTTAATTTAAGAAAATGCCACTTGGCCATAAAGTTAAAGACTGTTACTAACCTTTTTGTATCTCCTTTCTGGACTTTTACCCAGTGCTCCACTTGAGCCATGTTACTTTTCCTTTGAAACTGCTTGTCTGGATTGGTTCTGGGAACAAACCCTCTTTTATATGAGCCAGTACCATTCTGCTCCACCAGGCCAGCACCCACACTCAGTGAACTAGGGAGAGTTCCATTCTTCTCAGCTGGCTGAGCTACTTGGGACCAGGATGCATTCCTCAAGTCTGGAAATAATGAATCAGCTTCAGTCACTGCATGCTTAGCCTTTCCCTTTTTGGTTTCCAGAGTTCCTTTTCGGTGGATGTAACGCTCCTCCTCCTCCTTTTCTCTTCTTATCTCTTCCCGCTTATCGTATCCCAGCATTTCAGCTGATTTCTGATAACTTCCTTTTGTGTCTGTGATCTCTGCCCTCACACACTCTTTGCAGGCATCCACATGATTGACCTGGGGAACAGCCTGCTGATCCACTTTTTCAGTTTCCCTGAAAAGAAAACAGGTGTAACTAACAAACACTGTTTAATTGAGAAAAGTTGGTGTGGTCTCTTTTACAAAGGATACCCACAAAATCACTGTCTGCAGACTGTGATAAATTTGACATGTTACAATAAATATGCTCAGCAAAACTCAATTGCTATCCCAGTTAGACAAAAGTTACCTTTATTGTGCTGTCAAGGAAGCAGAAATGACTTATATACATCTCTAAAAATGACTGAAAATACTGGTATTCTACAAAAGAAGTGTTCAATATTACATTGTGTACAAAAAAATCTGTAAATAAAAAAAATCTTCCTATCCTAGGAAGCAAAAAAAACCAAAACTAAGCTGCCAACTGCTCACATGTCAAAATATAAAAGAAGTCTTTCATATCTTTGTAGATGCCTCAGGGACCACTCACTCCTGGCCAAGAGGACAGGGCAATATCTACATTTAAGTCAGTACCATTGCCCAGGGAATTTCTATTGGGGAGCTACTCCTGAAGAAAAAATTGCTCCATGCTGAAGTGCACACTAGTTTACTTAGTTACCTTATTGCCTAAATAATACCAGAAATCTTGATATTCAACTTGAACACACTATAAAATGTCTGAGGATTCTGAAAGTTTCATGTCGCTTTTGACATATAACATACTTCATTTGCAATTTTCTTCATCTCCTTATAACAATAACCTTCTCAGCAACTTTTGTTCTCACAAAATGCAATGGGTTCTCACTGATCTCAGGGTGGCACCCCATCTCTGAAACTAAGTTCAGCTTCTTAAAAGTTTTATGGAAAGTAAATTTTGAGCAAGTGCCATGACAATATTGTTTTCACTTCAGTCTAATTAGAAAAGAATAGTCTGCTTAGGAGTAAGGACATTGGATCAATACTTCTAATGTGCCAGACTTCTCCAATTTTTCTTTCAATTATTCCTGTCCTTAGAAAGAAGCTAAAGAAAGAGGTAACAGATTGTTTCTTGAAATTTAGATTAACTCTAAAATGTCTTAACACAAAATCATATCAAATGTAAAGCTCTGGAAGAGACACTGATCCCTTCCTCCTATTTGACTGGCCAGAAGAAAGCAGTGTGAGACACTCAGAGAAATGCACCATAACGTTTCAACCCTCACAGCCCGCAGTGGCTAAAGCAGGGCTGTCGCACACAGCAGTGCTCCTTCTCATGGAGGAGCAGGGAAACGATCACATTACAAAGCCACAACATCAAGAAGGCTCCATCAATTTAAAGAAAAGGAAAAAATCTGGAAGCACATTTTGGCACAGCTGAATTTGCTCATTATCAGTTCATACCTCCATAAATTAGTTGACATCCATTAACTCTATGCACTTATGATTTATCTGTCTTTAGCACTCTTTCCCCTTAACAGCACTTCAATCTTAATTCTCAACACTCACTTGAAATAACTCATAAAATTTCTTTTCTTTCTTTTTTACTTCTCTCCCCCAAAGGCAGCCAATTGGCTGTGCCAGGTGTATGAATTTTACCACAGAAACTGGAACTTTTTACCAGAAATTCCCGAAAATATTATATACAGAGAGAGAAATTAATCCTGGTCACGAAATGTGGCCACACAACCTGCATGCATACACAGATACTGAACACCAGGTTTCCTTAATTAATACCAGTTAGCTATTTTGCAACAGAATAACTTAAAAATAATTAAAGAGAAATTAAATTTAAAATAAAGAGAAATAAATTAAAAAGCATTAAAAATAATTCTTTAAAAAATGGAAGAGTTTTATATATATATATACAGAGTTTTATACATATTTACAAACAGCAGCGTCAGATACCACCAGAGGTGCGATTTATGGAAGATATTAAATTTTTGTAAAATTGTAAGGCTTTTTTTATGTCAAATATTATTGTTTTTTTTTTAAAGCTTCTGAGAGGAACTTGCCTCTTCAGTGAGGAGCGTGTCTGCATGAGAGCAGCCTGGTTCATAGCCCGGATCCAGGCGTTCATGTCCTCCTGGGTGTCTGCACTGAAGTAGTACGTCCTCATCCCTGTGTGCTCTGCCTGAGAGCCAATGACAGAATTCTTGTTATAAATATATGCCCTCATACCTGTGTGAACAGCCTGGAAGAAAAAAGAAGAAACAAAAGTCAGACAGCTCTTACATCTTTTCCCCCCCAAAAATTAACTTAAAAACAACTTTTCCTTGTCTGTTTCTTGAATTTGGGGTGAATTATCACACTGCCACAATGGGCTCTAAGTGCAGTAAACTCAAAAAGCACTCCAAGTTTTACTGAAATTCTTCTGCCTCTTTCTGGCATTATTAAGCTGAAAATCCAGTGCTTCTGATTTTCACAGTGGGGAATTTCAGCTTTTCTTTTTCTTTTAATTGATATATTTCATTTGCCACAAATACTATACTAAACAAATTGAAGAAATCCATATACTGAACAAATTTAAGAAATTCTCAATGAGATGTGCATCAGCAAGTCAATTTTCCCAACTCATTTAATAAAGAAATTTATTCAGACAAAACACAGACAAAAATCTTATCTTTTAAGCAATTAAACTGCTAATTTAAGAATTGATTACAATGCATGTTAGGATCTTTTGGTTAAAGCGTGCACTTGAACATGTATTAGCTGCAAAGTCACAAGACTTACTGATAGAAGTTAGTAATACTGATGGAATTATCACAGCACATAAAATACTGGCAATTATCTCTGCACACTAAAATTCTCCATGAAATTCCACTGCAAACCAGAGGTACCAGGCAATTTCTCTATAAATATATTCAATATTCAAATGGATTCAATATGGAATACCTTTGTTACTCTAGGCTAGTTGAATTTAATGAAATCTCATCCATATTTGTATTAGCAATAGTATAAAGATTAGAAAATCATGTAAGCCCTGCAATACTTCAGATTAGCAGGGAGATACTCATCTCTTTACTTGCCAAAAAATTGAAGGTGGTATACTCTGCTTGAAAGCTCTTGTAATGATAATAAAATGAAATTAAAAATAAAATTTTTTTTTATGAAACTAAGCCTGCTATCACACACAAAAACTAATAGCATTAAATACTGCTGAGATGGGGTTTTTTTTAAGAAGAAAAAGAATTATATCACATTTTTAATTTGGCTACATCTGTTTCTAAAGGGTAAACGTGCTCTGTAAATCCTGACTAAATAATTGGTCTTTTTATATTGATTATATCCTCTCCCCCTTGTTATTCTAAATAAAATTTAAAAAAATTATTGTAGAGACAATCATAGATGGCTTCAGAAATACAACAGTCTTGACAAAACCCAGGCTATTTAATGCCGTGCAGCCCTTCCTAAACATTATAACTTCACTTGTTTACCAAGAATTTCCCAAATTACCATGACCTTACAGACTTGTATCAACAACTCCAAAGAGCAAAATATGTGCTTGCTATTACAGTGCTTTTAAGCAAGTTCTGTGCAGAATTTCCTCCCTTCCCCTGGCAGGCTGTTCCCCTGAATGTGTGAAACGTGGCCTTTCCCTTCTGTGCCTCAAGCAAGGAAGGCTGAGTTTGTTTTGAAAACTGGAGACTGAAGTAGAACAGCCAGCTAGAAAAAGGAGGAGGAGAAGGAAGAGAAGGACAAGGTTACATAAAGAAGTCAAGACTCTCTCCTGCTCAGAAGAGTCTGCACTTCCCAACAACATTGGCCAAAAAGGGAATACAAGGTGGTCTCTTCTCAATTCCCACCATTAGCTGTCCCCCTGAACACAGGAAAACAGGACTTACACATATTAAACAACAGCTCTGATCAATCATATATTTAGAAATCCAAGGACTTTATTAATGTTTCCCTGGTTCTCTGATGTTATTGGGGGGTTGTCTTTTTATCTCCATTTTCAGAACACAAGAATGCTCAAAGCAAATATGATTTGGAGCATTAATTCATTATAATTTACAGTTACCATCCAGTGTATGAAGAGACCAAAAACTGGCAGCTCCAGATATAAAGGAAAAGGGTGACTTTATTGTGAAACCTCATGACTACAGAGCTCCTCCACAGAGCAGGCTGATCCCACAGAAGGTGTTAAAATTCAGAAGTGAATCAATTCCTGCAGCAAAGCAAACTATGCATGTCCCACTGCAGATGATGCAGTAGGACCCAACTATTCACTGGTTTTATACTTGCTTAAAAAAAACCCAGAATTTTGAGGAACTATCTGCGGAGACTTTATAGCCCACCAAGAAATGGATGTAGCAGCTGTCTTAATTGACCTGTATGTCCGGATCAACATAACCCACTTGTGTTTTAGGTTTCTCTGTGAACACAGCTGCAAGCACTGCCTAAGAGGCTGCAGGTGAAAACAGTATCAAAATGCAAACTGTGCTGCACCACTCTCTCTTGAGAGACTGAAGCTCTCACAACCACAAACATTCCCAGCTTCAGAAGGGACAGTGGAGATAGTGTGTGATTATCTACAAACACAATATCCTGTATTTCACAATATATAACACTGGTTAAGGGAAAATTCAAATTTATTTCAGTTACTTATTAGTAGTGTGTTTTAAATGCAAGAAAGCCACTTTGTGCCAACATCCTGTAGCTGTCCCTGCTGATAGGCAGAAGCTAGCAGGCCTTTTGGGTTTGGGATTTTTTTTTAAAGCCAAAGCTATTAGGATGGCTACAGCATACTAAAAAGCCTAGAACACAGCACATGCTCACATGTACACCATACACACAACAGGGAAAAAATAATATTGGTACCTATTCATGCATTCAGAGGCCTTAATGTGGATAGACTGAGAAGAAAAGCAGTCTCTCTCCCATAGTGCACAGTAGGAGAAATGGACAGTAAAACCCAAGAGCATATCAACAGAACAAGACAAGGACAAAAAAAATTAAACAAGTTAAAATCATTTAAAAATTCATGTTCAAAAAAAAAAAAAAACAAATCCAAACAAACAAAACAAAAACTTAACAAAAGACTGTACTAAAAGTAACTAATGCCTACAGCTGTTGTATTCACCTCCACTTGTTCAAAATACCTAAGACAGAAAAGCCGCCATTCACAGAACAAAGGGATAACTAAAGGAACAGTTTTCTAATAATTGTAATCTTGCCAAGTTATTTCTGTCAATGACCTATAATAGGCAGAAAATTGTTCCTTCACCCTGAATTTTGATATTTACAAACCTCTTCTGAGCAAAATTGAAATATTACTCTGAGCCTTTGCTACAAACTCAACAACAGCCCACTACACCCTAACTCATCTTTCACCCTTAAATAATATTGAGCTTTTTGGAGATTTGTAGAAGCTTGAACCCTCCCCTCTTCCAAATTCACAAACAGCACCTCTCAAATTTACAACCCTTGGCATTTCTTCTCCTGACTCCCCAGACCTAGAATAATAAGGGAGCCCCCTAAGGGAGCAACACTGACTCAGAGAACATAAAGGAACAAACTACAGCAAATTATTTTTTTTTTAGGAAAACCACCAAGATCAAAGAAACAGTTAGGAAGTTCGTCCTGGTCTCAGTGGTCTAAGCAATGAACAAATAATTCCATTAGTAAGACCAATTAAAAATAATTTTCCTTATTTGAGGACAACAAGGCTTCTAAAGAGACTGTGAGGACATGAACCTCAATAAACTGATACTATTCCTGTCCAAAATTATTGTATTACTGCAAAGTACAGTCATTTCTCTGTTAATCACAAGTATTTCCAGCTATATATGAATGCTCTGCAAGCCTTTTCACATTAAAATCTAAACAATGAATTTGTGCCCACTCATATTGCTACCAACAAAAAACTGTTCTTTTAAAATGCAGCTATTAGACTAACTAAATATCTTTATGATGCGAGCTGCTGAACTAAATATGCAGTAAGGCCCTGAGTTCTAGGGTCACGCTCAGCTTAGTGACAGTGGCTTCCAGCTAGTGACAGCACTTTGCTTGGCACAAGTACAGAAGACTCAAAAAAGAGTCAAGACTCAAAAATTGTATCAAAATAAAGACCTAAAAGCACAGTTTCTAAACCAAAGAAATTAAATGCACATACTGATATATTTCAAAGTAGGGGTTCGATTGATTTCAAAAGCCTACAGGCTGTTCTGCAGGCCTGTAATTTTTAAACAGCCAAAGAGACAAAAACTTAAGCTGGACCTCAGAGGGTGATGAAAGGAAAAGGATTTTGAGAACACCTACAGCACACATTTTAACACTTTGCAGGGTTTAACACAGACCCTACTGAGCATATACTTTACAAGCCTCCTTCTAACCAAATCATATGCAAAAAGCACCCATGTATTTTGCTTAGCAAATTTCCTCCCTCTAGTTTTGCAAACAAAAGAGTTGAATTTTTTCCAGTTTTGCTATTTCCCTAGCTTCCAAACTCACTCAAATGGGAGACAATCCTTCTGTTGTAACAGAAGATTTACAACAACCTCAGTGAAGAGCAGGCTAAATGTAAGAAATGCCATAGCATGTACTCCTACACATTCAGGTCTTCAATGAAAAAAAAGTCTTATCTTTATTTGGGCTTAATCTGCTCATGTGTTCTATTTCTGGCTGTGCTACGCTGCAAGACACAATGTCCAGCTGGGCTCTGGGTCTGGAGGTGTTCTGAAGAGAGGAGATAAAGGCAATGGCTGCTGAGTGATGGATGCCAGCACAGGGTGTCCTGCTGTGGGGAGCCCACAGCCAGCTCTGTGACCACTGAACATCAGTGCTGGACATCAGGGTCTGTGCCACAGGAACGGCACAAAATCCTCCTGCTGCCCTTGGAGCTGGGTCTGCATAAAACCACACTGCAGCATCCAGCCTGCAGTCCATCATCAAACACCTAAAGCAGAGTTACAACTGGCCTGACAAACTGATGCATGAAATGTTGATTTTTTTACAGAGTTTGCTAGCAGAAACTTTCTTTTGCTGTCAACACTCTATTTCTATCTATATCAATAGATATAGATAGACCCCGTGTGGAAAGTCTCATGTATTTCCAGAAAAAGACTCAGATTAAATACCTGGTAGAGCTCATGCAGGTATGATATCCTGAAAGGAACAGGAGAAGTCTGCATTTGCTTCTGGAAAGGTTTAACCATGACCAAACCATGGATTCCACTCCGCTTGCCCAGTGGGGACTTAAGAGAGTGTGTAAACACCATTTGAATAAAATAAAAAGCAGGGAAACCTAGAAGAATACATTGAGTTCCCCTCCTTCAGTACATGCTTCCTCCTAGGAAAAGGCTCTAGAAAAGGAGGGCTTTATGAATCACACTCAGTAAATACTGGAGGTGGAATGTTTTTCTTAAACAAAGATTTCTTTGTAGTTTTATCCTGATAACTCATGCTCAATGCATTTGAAAAAGTACAATAAACATTTCCACAAAGTGCACCAGGTCTTTTTTAAACACATTTCCCAAGTTAATATTTGCTTAATAAATTTCAAACCACTATCCACTTGAAAATAGAACTGAAAGTAAAAAAGGCAGTCTCAACTTTAAAACACCTCAAAAAAAAATCTAAATCCAAGAGGAAGTCACATGTTGTTCATAATTTCAGCACAGAAAATATTTAAACAGAGATTCCTTCTAGATCTCCTAAAGTATGCCTGATCAAAACCTGATTTGTAAATTAATTTAAAGTGCATAGCTGATTTGCTTGATAGAAAAACAAGTTCTGCTCTGACTTTAAATCTGCCACAGGCATGGAAGTTTCTCAGCTTTGCCTAAGTGCTGCAGTTTGGACAATCACTTGGAGTCAGGTTTTGGCACTGTCAAGAAATATGGTTTTTTTCATATCTGTGGGCTTTTATAATGAAGACTAGAACTGCAAATTATACACTTACATTTATTTTTAGAAAAAGAAAAACCACAAAACCACCCATAAACTATATCAAGCAAGAGTATTTTTTCCTTTTTAAAAGTCCATATCATTTAGGATGACTAAGTGCTGTCATAGTCTACCTGTGAGATCTGATTCGATTTTTTTCTTTTTAAAAAAACCACAAGAAAACCAAACAGACATCAGTCCATTATGAGATCAAGTACTCTATTACAAAGTAAATAAGACAACTTTTCTTTCAATTTGTACACAGTACTGGAACAACTTGTCAATACTAATTTCTGATTTTAGAAACAGGCTCTTTACTCAGGGACACTTCATTAAGCTGTAAGGACACTTACAGAGTAACAGACGTGAATGTCAATTCATAAGCAAAAAAAAAAAATGCTATGTCACATTTCAACAGGCAGTCAATAAACCTGTCTGCTTTTGAAAGCTAGGAACAAGCAAAATAGGAAAACAGATGGTGTTCTTGTTTACAACAGCAGCTTTTCTAATGCAAATAAATGTGATTAGCTGATAAGCTTTGCAAATGTACCTTAAAAGAAAATTTGCGATTGATACGATCTTCAGGTCCAACTGGAGATATGACATAACTGGGCAATGGGATGCTCCCCAGAACAGACTCTTCTCTGCTGTCTGTAGAATAAAGAAATATAATTTAATTCCCTGCCCTGTTTAGTGGGCTAACAATATTTTCTCCTTTATGGACAGAGAAAACAGGCATTAAGCAGAAACAACAGTGGCTCAGACTGAACATAAGGAAAAGCATTTTCCCAAGGACAGAGCAGCAGGGGCACAGGCCAAGGGAGAAGCTGTGCCATCTCCATCCTTGGAGCTTTTCAGTGCCTGACTTGATTAAACCCTGAGCAACCTGGGCTGACTCCTTTCCTGACCCTGCTTTCACCAGGCACTGCGATGGGACACTTCCTCAAGTCCCTTCTGACACAAATTCACTTATAATTCAACACCAATAATACATGCAGAAAAAATGTTTTAGTTTTAAAGAATAAAAGCTTGGAGTTTGTTTTCCTAATCAGATTAAGTTTTTATTGAGTTTTTTTTTATTTTTTTCTTGTTGGGGGGTGGGGGTTAGGTGCTGCTTTTTAGCTTCAGCCAGAAGAATACACTTCAAGTATAAAGCTTATTGTGCCAAATGAACAGTGACAGGCTGCAAAACATGATGGACCTTCCATTTAGCACTGTACATCCAGGCTAATGGCTATAATTAGGAAATCTCTCTTACTGCTGGCTTCAAGGGATTGACAGCAGAAATGCAGCATCTAGAAATATGAATTCCAAGTCTGATATTCTGTAATGCTTTCCAAAAATTGTAGCACATGAAATATTCAAAACTTGAAAATAACCCTATGTAATCCCTAGTTTGGTCTGGGATCACATCTAACCTTTCTCTTTTTTTGGCAGAATTACTGGATTCAGAAGTTCTCAGTCTTACTTTGTCCCTTAGATTAAAACTGAACCAATGCCCTGATCTGGCCTTAGCACATTCTTAAAAAACTCAGATGTCCAAGTGCAAGCAAGTAGCTCCCAGAACACAGACCAGAGATGGAATAAATCTTGTTTACTCCAGTCAGATGTTCTGCAAAGTAAACTGTGTCACTCACCAAACATAAATGATGTGAAAAAATATCATACAGCATCCTTTGCTTCCCCTACTCTGGCCTAGAATTTGCTGTGCATTTAAGATGTCTGGCCAAGCAATTGTTTCACTGTTCGTCTCAGAACAACTAACTTTATCTGAAGAGCTCAGTTAGTTCATTCATTCACCATGATTTGTACAGCTGAACTGTTCAGACTAACCCAAAACAGCTAATATTTACTCACCTTTGTAGTAAAACAAACAAAAATCAGCAAGCACAAACCATCGTCTCTTCCATAACCGCATTCCAGAGCTATCCTGAAATGCAAGAAATGTGGTACACTTTTCATTTAAGGAAAGTTAACTGGCACAGTGTTGATCCAGTGAGTAGTTTACCAGAAGCTTACCTAAACATGATTGCTAAGTGCAAAACAAATGGTTTCTATCTCAGCAAAACGTTGTGTAATAAGAAAGATAAGAGGCAAAACATCCAGCTATAAAGTAATGAGGGCAGAATAGTCAAACTGCTAATTTTCATTAAGTAATTAAACCCTCATCCCTAACAGCATTCAGATTAACCTTGTATACAACCAGTGCTTATTTTATCTGCTCAGATTTATCTGCAATAAGGAAACCAAGTGTGTTTCTGGATGGCACAAACTCCAACAAAGACTGCCTGCAGACCAAATGAAAATCACTACACAGCTGTGAAGTATGACCTCACATTTCAGGCAATGATATCCTATAATTCAATCACCATATGTTACCCTTGCCTAAAATGTAATTTAATCAAATATTCCTTAGGAAATAAAACAGGATGCATAATGTGCAAATTTTAATGAAGTATAATATAATATGCCTGTGGAGATATATATAGATATAGATATATATAACCTTGTCAGAATGAGGATTATTTGCATTGAAATTAATTTCTGAAGCTTTTAAAATTGCCAGACTATAACCTAGGCAAGTACAACTTGTTCAGCTCGGGTAGGCTTCGAGGGGACCAGCAGGATAAAAAGCACCTTCAGATTTTAAGGGTTTTCAAGCAAGGTTAGGGGACAGAAGGAAATAGGATATACAACATTGCCCTAGCTATTTCCCTCCTCCTTTCTGCAATCAAATTATCTATGGAAGGACTTTCTTCCCTTCCCATTTTCATGCCACAAGGCTGGCAACACATACTGTGTCCGAGTTCTCATTCTGTCCTGAGAACTAATGGACTTGGGTAGTGGATGTCAACAGAGCTGAGAGTGAAGCACAGCAGAATTACATCTCTCCACCCAGGAGGAAGCAGACAGCTGTCAGCTATTTCACTTTCATGTAAAACCATAATTGTAAGCCTCAGATTTCAGCCTTCTCCTGCCCACCCCTAAATCTAGCTGCTGGATCTCTGTGATAATCCGGTAGGCACGGGCTGCGAAATGAGAAGCAGGGGAACTATTCTCATATAACAAACAGCTTTATTTACTTATTACACCCAAAGATGTGTTTCTGTCAGCTTAAGAGTTCAAGACACAGCAGCTGTAGAATTCTGTTCATTGAATGAAATTCTGTAATCCAGTCTTTGCTGGCTACTGTGAGCTGGCTACATGTCCCCATTTCCCATAATTTTCTCCCTCCTGCTTCTGGAGAACAAAAAGGCATAGGGACTGGAATTAAGCCTTTGATCAGGGTAGAAGGGCATAACCAAGTAGATAGAATTAGGCCTTCACAGCCAGCCTCAGGCTGTGTTCTGAGGGAGTCAAAGATCAGCCTGACACTGAGCCAGCAGGACAAACCAGGGAAAATAACCACATTTAGATAACAAAGTTACAGCCTCAACACTGAGCTGAGATGGTGACTTGCATTTATCAATTTCCTCTTCTGAATCAAAGCCATTTGTAAACCTTGGGTTTGACACTTGCCAAGCACAAACTCCTGATTATGGAAGTCTATGGAAGTACCCAGCACTGCCCTGTGCCACCAACACTGGAGCTTCTGCTTTCTCAGGTCCTTGGAAGCACTGGCTTCTCCTTGATGCTTGCACTGAATATATGAACAGAACCAGGTGATCAGATGCATACCTGTTTGTGCAGCCAGCCTCTTACTATCACAGGGACATTGGGATTCCTCCGGATGGCTTGTTCCCTCTTTCCAAAGCTGTGAACTTTGCTTCCAGTCTTCACAACCTGGAAAGTATAATGGAGCAGTGGTTTTTAAACCGTCCTGAGACTCATTTCATATTACAAATACTCTCACTGCAATAACTTATACTTCATTACACAGCAACAAAGTACTCATGGCATTTTCAAGGGCAAGTAAACAGGCAATGATATTTACAACAGAGCAAAGTCAATCCTCCACCTTCATCAGGACGGTGTGCCAGCTCCTGCTGAAGAGCAGCAGCACTGCTGTGTCAAGTCAGAAGGCAGAACTGTGCAAATTTTAGTGCGCTTGGAAAGAATATTTGAGAGCTGCATGCAAGTCTGTGGAAAATATTGCACAAGTCTCTTACACACACAGGACTTCGAGCAGATGAATCTTACTCTTGCTCTTTGTTTGGCTTTTAGGGGGGGTTTTGATGGAGTTTTTTGGTGGATTTTAATTTTTCCTTCCTGTTTAAAGTCAAACAACATTGATAGCTTAATAAAATGCTTGGACTCTGGCCCTGCAAACAAAAGGAGAAGACAGTGTCACTACCAGGGAAGAGACCTACACGGCAGCCAGAAGAAATCACAAGGCCTAGGTAATGATCTGTGTCTTACTGAAACCTCAGTTTTGACCCACATGGACAAAACTATTTCAAAAACAAACAAGCAAGACCCATCCATGTGTGAAAAAGCACACATCACTCAATAAGTAATTTGCCTGTCTTTTCCAGCCTCAGCCCAGTTTGCTCTCCAAGTGCTTCAGGACAGACTACCCTTACAGTTGCTGCCAACTTCTCCAAGAAAAGAGCTGTCCAAATTCTTTCCTACAGCATCTCTCTTTTTAATCTCTGAGCTTGTCAGGGTACAGATGCTCTGCAGGCAAAGAGCAGCTCTGGAAACAAGAATATTCATCACACACAAGGGATAATATCAGAAGAATATCTCAGTGTACTGCTCCTGCCAGGCAGGCAACATCTGGACTAGAAGACTGCTGTCTAAAATGTAAATAATTCTAGCAGAATATTGCAACTTTAAATGGATTCTGTTGATTGATTGGTGAAGGCCAGACTTTACCAATCAGCACTAAATTTCCTGTCCCAATGAAGGGTTGGCTAAAACCAGTATGAAAAAATGCACTTTTTGGTGCTACAGCCTATGAAGCAGTGAGGCAGATTTAACAGGAGTGAGGAGCAGAAGGATTTAACGGGAGGATTTCCCCAGCAGTGCCACCTCCCCAGACAGCTCAGGGAGAGCCTGCACAAGGCCCAGCAGCCCCCAGGGCACCACAGGAAAAGCCCACACTTGTGCACCTGTCTGGGGCTGCTGGCACAAGCCCAGCAGAGCAGGCTGTAGAAGAGGTTTCTGAGGAGGTGATCCTGCCATCCAGCCAGCAAAAGCCAGTTCACAGCAGAAGCCAGGTCAGGATGGCATCACCAAATCCCCCAGGCTGTGTCTCTGCCAGGCCTGTGCTAAGGCACTCAGCCAACAGGCTGCAGAGCACTGGCTTTGGGCAAACACAGCCATATGAGGGCTTTGGTTAAGAAAAATGAGAAGTAAACAAGACAGTTGAGTTTTTAAAAATTGCTGCCAAATATTAAGATGCAACAGCTACATTAAAAGGGGGATGAAAAATAATGAGGCCCAAATATGTTAAAGCTCTGAAAGTCAAAAATCTACTTTTATTTTGTTTTTACTTTATCTGTACTTTGCAACTGAACATAAATCAATTTACAAAATGTACAGAATTTAGTTTCCTAATCTTTCTCTCATGTAGATCTTTGGAAGGGTGAAGGAACTGAGGAGCAGTTGAAGTGCAGCTGATCTAGTCTTACAGCAGCATTTAAATTTGATTTTTTATTTTAATCAGATCTTTTAATCAAGCACTTTCTCCAATCTCAATAATTTAAAAATGCAGATCACAATGTAGAAAAATCATCCTTGGACTTGGTCAAAGGACCAAATAATTTCTATGGCACAGGAATAGGAAAATTTTTCCAAAGGCTGTGTATTATATGTCAATCCAATACCCATAATGGAAACAAAATTATCATTTTATGGTGCTTAATGTAATTAAAATTCTCTTATAATATTCAGTATTGATTATCTCATTCTGCTTTGGAATAAAACAAAGCATAACAGATACTGCAAAGCATAACATATATTGCAAAGCATAATAGATACTTAATCACACCTTGTTTCCACTGGCTAGACTAAGAAATTGGTTTAAAAGAAAAGGTGTATTTATTTTTAAACTATTTCTCTGCACTGCAGTAGTGTGTTCCTAACTTGAATTCTTCTGATATCATTGTCAGGACTTTAAAAATGCAGGTCAGCACAGCTGTCTGTATCACTGAAGACACAAAAGTCACTTCTGACTTCAATACATTTGTTATGCTGACTTGCTTGTGAATGACTGCTGTGTTTTTGCAACAAAACTCAAAAATGTCAAAAGCCAAAATTTTCAAATCCCTTTCCATCACTGCCTCATCTTCTTGCTTACAGCTGCTTGTAGCTGAGGAGGAAAGTTGCTAACTTGTTAGGTAATTTTTTTCTTTCTTTTAAACAGGACTAACAAAAAAAGTACAGACAGACTTTTTAAAATAGTAAACAGGAAGACTGTATTTTGGTCAAAATATGCAAATACATATGCATAATAAAACATGGAACTTTCAACCTAGAAGGAATTTTTAAAAAGTCGACCCATAAAAAGCCACCTGCTTAAGTCATAAACTCTTTAAGTAAAAAAATCTCAGCATCTCAGTTAGAAATGAACTTATGGATCCTTTCAGTATCTCTAAGAAAATGAGAGATAATCCTTATTTTTCAGATAGAAAAAACTAAAACTCTGCAAAAACCTCCAAATTTTGAGCATTCACATGCAGTGGCTGTGAGCTAGACCCAGTGCTGCACTCCAGCTCCAGACAGCCCCAGAGCTGGCACATCACATTCCTGTCACCACTGCTGGCTCCAGCTGCTAGACACATTCCTTACTTGGATTCCTCACCAGTTTACCTCAGAGAAATACCAGCAGCTACCAGTGTCACCAACAATTCAATGACTTGTGTTAGGCAGAGCCCATCCAAAACATGCTCTCAAAATGCAGATAGTAAACACATTCCCTACAGTCCTTTCATTTTTGACTTGGCCAAGGCCCTGTGCGGCACAGTAACGTTTACAAACTTCCATTCACACCACCACATGTTTCAACAGACTAAATTCCAAATGTACCTTGCTGTAAAACTGAAGAAGACCCTTATTCCTCCATAACCTTAATTATTAATCAATATAAATGGCTTTTAATATGGTCAATCATGTAATTGAACTGGCTATGAACAAGCAGATCTTTGGGACAGAGAATAACTGCAGTTTATCAAAATGCCATTTTGCTTTTCATTCCCTCAAGCCCATACCCCTCAAATGTCAAAGAGTAGGACAGACTGCATTGGTCTAAAGTCTTTAGATTTCTTACTCAGACAATTCCTGCATCAAAATACTGGCCCCAAATGTGCAGACCTCTATAGAGAAAAAGTCTATACTTGGCCAGGATTCCAACACTATGCATACACCATTCTGTGATGGCATTTGCAAGACCAAATTATAGAAGCATTTAATAAAAAAAATAATAACTAGCCACAGCTAAGTAGAGAACATGAACATGATTGCGCTTCATGTCTGCATCTGAGAACTCACTACTCACTCTTTGAAAGAATGATTATGGAATTCAGGGAAGGAAACATTTAGAAGTAGATGGAAGGACCTTAAAATCTATTCTCAACCTCCTAGAAGTCAATTTTAAAGTGGAGGACACAAGTTATTTTACAGCCTTTTTTCTCACAGCTAGTTCACTTGAAATAATTTTTGTGTTAGACTGTGAAGGAATTCAACAGATATGACTTTACAAAACAAGGGAAGTGATTTCAAGCCTGTTAACACATGCAATGATGAAACATTGTAGGAATATGTAGGAAAGATGCTGGTTCATCTTAATTAAGGGCTCAAAGTAGAATGGATCTTATAGCAACAAACTTGGTGGAGAAGCAAAGTGCTGGCAAAGCCTCTGCGAGAGCTTTATTCTAAGTCTAAAGTTAAAAATTCCACACCTGGGAGCCTGCCAGAAGCATGCACAGCCACCCTTAGAATGGACTGCAAACAGAATAGAAAGAGAGACCAAAACCAGACCAACCAAAGCCTTGGGAGGTGGTTCTGGATATTCTCTGAGCTGTGACGAAAAGAGCATCACCCTCCTGCTCAGCTGTGTGGTTCTGACACGCCCAGAGAATGAGCCCCCAGCATGTGGGTGGCCTGGGAGTGGAATCCAGTCCCCATTTTTGGTCTCTGCTGGATCAGGGCAAGCAGGTGACAGAGGGAAGCAGCAGGAGCAGGGCTCAGAGGATGCACACTTTCTGGCAGAAGTGTGATCCTGGCCAAGTTAAAGCCAACTGTGCCACTGGAGAACTCCCCAGCTCAAAGCACCCTATCAGATCCCCAGTAAGTTTTTGCTGGTTTAAAAAAGAAAAAAAAAAATGAGCTTTCTGCCTCTAATGCAGGCTTTAAAAACTCAGAGTAAGGAGGATAAATATGGTAAAAACAAATTCCGACATACTTTGGTAAATTCAACTCTTCAAATATCAAAAAGAAGTGTTTCAACTAATTCAAGCAACCTACTAAGCTGACTGCAGTGATAACTTCATCTAGCACTTTAAAGATAAATGTATTCTTGAGATATGATACATTATAATCTTTGTGTTGGTTCAATAACTTATACATTTTAAGTTTTAAAAAATAATTTTTCAAAAATTAATTTTCAGCTTCTCATGAAATTGTATCATCTCCTATACTCAAGCACATCCAAAAATTAGATGTGTAGTCAAAGATTAGTAAAAGATTTTAAGTATTCCAACTAAACAAAACATCTTTGCAATCAATTCGGTGAAGTCCTTTCTTAAACTCAATTACATAAAAGGCTGCTCACTTTTGCATTAAAAAAAAAAAACCAACTGAGAAGTTTAAGAACTGCAGTCAAAGTAAAGAAAATTATCTCTGCTAATTCTTTCAATATTGCTCTATCCCTTTTTATCCACCCACTACCATTCTCACTGTTCTGTAATTTATTGTAAGGTCAAAGAAGTATTAAAATAGATGGTGACACTTCAAGTATAGCACTTTATTATACTTTGTTCAATAATGGACACAGGTCCTTTGTCAATGACAAGGAATGGACTTTTCTATTATTAACCATCATGTGTGTGAACTTGGTGCCTGCACTACTTGTGCAATGCAGCGAGGGCAGAAAAGGATTTGTTACTAGGAGGAGGAAAGGCAGTAAGATTTCATGAAAAAGTAAGAACTGCAAACTCCTGGTATCATACATCACTTTTTGCCATATACACTGGACTACTAAAACACTTGCTGAAATACTAATATTCCATATATTTACTTCCACTTGTAACACACAAACTTTCTATGTCCCAGTAATCACAATGTAAGAAGTCACCATTCAATTCTGTCATGTGGGCATGCAGTGCTTCTAAATGAGCTGTAACAGTGCTGTTGCTGCTGCATACCGTGCTGTCAAAAGGTTTGTGTCTGGGTAGAAGATATTACCTCTTCTCTGAGGTCTTACTAGACTTCTAGCTAAATTCACAGCCCAACTGAAATCGGCATAAGAATACTGGATTTAAAAATCAGTGAAGTTGTGATGAACAAGATGAAAAAAAATTTTTCCCTTTACCTTAGAGGCAGGTTTTGCATCAACAGCAGACGTGGTTACTGCAGTGGACGTTTCACTGACCATGCTTGAAGGCCTTTGGTTTATTTGTTGGTTGGACATAGATGAATTCTGTCTAGAAAGCAAACAAAACCAGATAATCTAAAGCACATTGTTTCAAACATTGAGTGTGGCCTTTTTATGTTTAAAATTCACAGTGTGCAAATGAATGACAAGTTAGTCAAATATTTCCTGTGCCCCTGCAGGTTCTTTGCACCACTCCTGCCATTTAGATTTCAGGTCCTTCTCAAGCAGTGACACCTGATGATTGGTATTTGTCTATGCATCAGGAGGGAGAAACCTGTCTGCAAACCCAAGAGAGAATCAAGATCTAACAAGGAGTGCAGGAAGAGAGAAGATAAGGCCTATGCAGTGAAACCAAACTGCCCAATTTAGAGAATTGGCCAAACCTGTGAAAGAGCCAGTACTGGGGAGAAAAGGACAGGAATCAGCACTTGGCAATAACAGGCTTTTTATTTAAAATCAAATTGAGCCTTGACTGCTGTTAGATCTTTCACTAACTTAATGCTGTATCTTTGAATCTGCCCAAAATATGATTCATAGCACAATATGAATTATTAAAATACCTTTTAAGCAAAATGGTGCAATTCAAGGCAGATAGTCATTAGAAATGTGTAAATTCTGAGTCATCCTAAGATTCCAGAAATCCTGATAACTAGCTCAGATATCCATTTAAAGCAAAGTGAGGTCAATCCTACCAGAAGAACCTGTTCAACAAGTAAGAACTCAGTACAGCCACCCAGATGAAGAATTGAGAGGATAGATAGAAGGGCAAAATAAAATCTCTGTGAAGAGAAGCTTCAGCAGCCAAACTCAACATCAGCATTGAATGAAATTAAAACCACAGGTGGCATTTTCAAAAATCATTAACAACATAATTTAGCAAATAACAAGTAGCAATAGAGTCACATCAGAAAAGAAAACACAACAAAACAACAATTAACAACATCTGATTTTCCTTTTCCCAGTCACCAAAGCCATTTATTAGAAAAACCAGAAAATGGTATAAAAGCTACACCAAATATGGTTGCTGCTACCACTGAAATCCAGATCTGAACCCAACAGAGAACAGAATAACTCTGAGTTACCACAGAATTATAAATAATTCTGAGTTATCATGAGAATAGAGTCTGTGATTTCAGTAGCGCAACACAAGGTTTAATAGAGGACAAAATATTTGCCACCACTGCTCTTCCTCAGTTACTACCTGAATAATTATCTGTTCAAAAGCTTGGATAGGTGTTTTTTCCTTATTTTTCCATTTGTGACCAGGGTTTCAATGAAGCTTGCAAGTAATTAATACAAGTTAGGTCCCATTTTATTTATATCTTGCACATCTGACATAAATTCCTTCTTTCTAGATTTTATATATAACCTCAGGTCCAAGATATAAGAACAACCTACAGCAGGCCCCTAAAATTCCTGGCCATCCCTTAAAGCAAGGGAACTCAATCTTGTCAGTTTGAGTCCATTTACCTCACCTCTAATAGACCAGCTACCCTGGTTCAGCATTTAATCACCTTTTAATCCAGTCTCTGCAAAACGCAGATTAAGAAACTTCCCATATATGACACTGCCTAAGCTATTCCTGTTGATAAAAATGAAAAATACTATTTAAATTTTGACAAATTGGAATTAATTTTTCCAATAAAAAATTAATCAAGAAGAAATAACCCCAGAGGAATGGTTTTAACTTAATATTTCTACTCTGATTTAACAGATTTTCTCTATCCCCAAAAATGCTGTTTCACAGCAAGTTAAACATACTGCACTTTAAAAAAATAGAAGAATTACAGATCAAAATAAGCCATATGTTTAACAAGACCATCATAAGAAAATCATAATACAATACAGAATGATAAAAATGTAATTTCTAAGCATTTATTATGTGATCATACTGTGATTGCCCCTTCACTTGCTACTACAAGTGATCACTGCCAAGAAACCAGGCTTTCCCTTTCTAGTAGTATCAAATTAATGACGAACTCCAAATTCACAAGAAGAAAAATGCTCCTTAAAAAATGTGAGGTAGTTGCCATGGGAGAATTCAAATAGCAAGCAAAAGAGACATTAAGTCCATTGAAAGAGAAAATACATTATTATTCTCCTATAAAAAGTCTTCAGCAGCAAACCTGGTAATGCAAACTTGCTGTACCCAACATTTAACAGAAAACACAAAACAATACTGCAAATTCACTTCAGTATTTGTATACAGTATTTCAAGGATACAGTAGGATTTTTGTATGAAATCAGAACATAAAACTCGGGTATTCAAGTCTTTTAACACCTATTGAATATTCTCAGTGCTTTTAAAAGCAAATAAAAACAGGCAGAATATGCAGAACTACCCGAAACATCCTGGCCTGTTAAGGGAATTAGCATTGTCCTAATAATATTTACAGATTCAACTTCAAAAATAATTGACTACAGCACTGACTCTGTGCATTCAGAAACATTAGTTCAAAGTCTCTATTACCAAAGATGTTTGATAATAATACCTGTTATCCAAGGTACCCCATTCTGTCTTCATAGTGATGCTGTTTTACTGTTTTCAGGCTAGTTTTTTACTGCCTCCCACAAGTGTGGGAATGCACACACAGAAATGCAGTGTGTCCATTTGGAACTCCAATACTGTGTAAATATTTTTAAGTACTTGAAAATAACACCCCATATAATATCTCCTGTCAAGCAACTCCCTGCTGTACTTAAACATTGCTAGTATGTCTCCAGAAACCATATTTACCAGCTGAAAAAATTACATAGCCAACATGTGGGATATTAAAAAACCCTAACACTGAAGAAGAACAATAAAAAACAATGACTATACCAGTAGCCCATATTGAATGTGCAATACTCACGAGAGACCATAAAGATCAGTCGACTTGGAAGATCCACATCCATACCAGCAACTTAAAAAGTTTATTTGTTGGAATCAGACATGATGCAATAACGTTGTCTCAATGTAGTTTTATTACTAATAAATTCCCTAATCCGTTAGATTTTAAAAAAAAAACCTTCCTAGTGTTTCTATACATGTAAACAAGGTAGATACTTATTTTAGGGTTGTTTGGGTCTCCTCTTTCCTCTCCACCTGATATTTTTGCTGCTATAGTAACCAAATGCAATAGATAAAATAAGATGGCTCTCTCCCCAGAGGTGATACACAGGTTTTATCAGGCACACAAAAACAGGCAAGAAAGAGGATAGCACTCATTGCATTAAGCACACTATATATTCCCCCCATATGTCTACATTTATGTTCTTGTATTTTTTAAAGTACTATCTCCTCATTTGCAAACACACTCCTATGACAAATATTACACAGCTCCTAATAAACAACTAGTAATATTTAACATTAGTCACATGGCTGTATGCGCCTGACTCTTCCTTTCTGTCCACAATTACTTAAAAAACTGTTATTTAAACAAAAATATGAGAGGAGAAATCTAAACATGATATACAGCTATCCTCAGTAATTCTATCATAGATTGTTCATAGAGAAATGCACATGTAACAATGTATTTAACTAAAAACCAAACACCTGTCTAGCAGACTTATCATTAATTCTCACTTCTCCATCAATTGTTTAAGAAAGGTCCCTTGGTGGATTAAGGGTTCGTTAAAATCATGAAAGCACAGAGATCAAGAGGCAGCTGTGAAATGGAGGGGCTTCCCATACAGCAAGAAGCTCAGACTACTTCAATGTGATCCTAAAAACTGTGAGGTGAACAAGTCAAAAGAAAATAAAAATTATTCTAGACAAAAACTGAGATGCTGGCAGAAAGAGATAGAAAAATAAACTTAAAATACAAACAACCATGATGCCAAAGTGAATTCAGTGCCAATAACAGAAAAGTAATTCAAAAGAGGAAGAAATAAAAACCACCTCTGCAGCTTTTATCACTCAAAACAACATTGCCAAGGAAAGGTTATTTTTAAATATCAGCTCAATGAGTAACAGCAGCCAAAGAACATTAAGAATTATTAGTAAAGGAATAGAGAAGGAAAAGTACAATTAAATTATTGTAACAAAAACGGAGCTCATAGGCTGAATCTTGCAGTCACCTATGCCCAACCATTCCATGAGAAAAAAGGAAACCTAAAAGTGACAGACAGGCTCAAGCAGAGTAGTGAAGGATACAGAACACACACCCCACACACCAAGTGAGCAAAGCTGCTAAGCTTGGAAAAAGAGCACAAGGTAGGAATTTGATAGTGGTCCCAGCTAAGAAAGTTTTAGGAAACAAGGAATTACTAATTCACTATTTAAAAGAAAAAAGAAATCTAAATTAGATCACCTTTAGAAAGAAGGAATAGTGTAAGGATCAAAAGATAATGTAATTCAAAAGTCACAGGTTCCAGCTACAATGGAGTTGAGAAAACCAGATTTCAGCTTGAAAAGCAAAATGGATGTGATATTGTTTAAAGGCCTTGGGGAAAGACTATGAAGTACAATCCCAGCCTTCTACTGAAAGTGCCCAGTTCTCATTTGATCAAGTGAATCAAGGGCATTTGGTTCACAACTGAGTCATAACCAAGCTAGGATTACATCACTCCTTGGTGTCATTTTCCAAAACTTGTTTCCAAATCTTCTTGCCAGAACAGTGCCTCCAGGATGAGGAATGGCCAGAGCAGTCCCCACATTCATCACTTCTACACAACTGTAAATTACTTTTCTGATGTAAAATGTGTCCTTTTAAATAGATATGTCTGCTGCAGCCTGAACAAGTTTGTGCTCACTTTTCCCCACTAGCTCCCAGTCAACATCTGTTGACAACCCCTTGGCCCTAATCTTAAATTAAAATCAACCAGCCAGTAATAAATCACGTCACAACTGCACTAAAGAACAAATCTCCTTTTATGAAACCCTTAAGAGTGCTACTGCTTCAGACAGGGTTCTCCAGCTACAGGAAAAAGGAGTCTTGGTCAAAGGATGCCACAATGGAAAGTTTCCACAGACCATACAAACCCAGAGACTGCCTCTCTGACCTGAGTCCTTCTGGTGGAAATCCTTTCACCACAGGACAAGGATCTACAACACTGACTCCAAACAGACACACCACCAAACACCAGTGATTCCAAGAAATCCCTGATGCCTGAGGGAAAAGGACTGGAAACACAGCACAGCTGCATCACAGTTCCTAGGCCTTAGGACAGGGAGGTGCCAACAGCTCCTCTGATTTCACCAGACACATCCAGAGATACCAACATCATCACCTGGCAGGAACTCAGGTGAAGAGTTCAGGTCTCCACAGGACCATGGTGAAGAGCCCCTGTGCAAACCCCCACTGCTGCACAGAACTGGTACAAAACTAAGGAAACCAGAGCATCCCACACACTTGAAAGACATTTTTAAAGCAATTTCAACTGCCAGATTAAAAAGATCTGATTTCAAAAACACTATGTTCTTCAGGCCAATAACAAAGCTTAGAGAAACATTCTTGCAAATACTGTTTTCTGAGCAGTCACTAGAAACATTTACTCTTCTCGCTATCCCTCCAGCCATTCCCTCTTCTTTTAGAATTAAAAACACCTCTAATTCCACTACAGTGTGAGATTTTTCTTGGTTTTGATACCATCTCAGTCTGAGTAACTGAAGTCTACATGTTCATCAGACTGCCCTCCAAATAAGCACTTCCATTTCTCCTCCAATAGTTTCTAACATACATTAAAGATTACTAAATCTATGTGCCACCAACAAGTACTTCTTTCAATTCCTTTTTTAATAATTAATCAGCTGCCATGACTACAAAACAAAAAACAGCCTAGGCAAGTGTGACTAATCCAGGCAGGCACTCCAAGAGGTTATCCAGACACCTATTTTCCAGTACCTATGTTTAAATTCATATTAAATTGGACTGAACCTTTACAACAGATCAATTAAAAACCAATTAATGGATGGAAGCTGGAACACATGACTGCTGTCCATATTTTCTGGGAGACTTGCTGATTTGCAACAATAGCTGTTCTCCTCACTAGGAGAGTGAGGTGGAGCAGATTGTTTCATACCTGTAAATGACCAAAGCACCTGCTTGCCATGGGAATGCTGGGGTGAACTCCAGCTCAGCAGCCACCCCACAGCCCTCACACCCAATCACAGCCCTCCCCTACAATGTTATATTTCAGGTTAGCTCTCATCAGGGTTTTTAACATAGGATTTGGCCTTGGCTTTGCTTTGCCTTGGGGGAGAGCAACTGTTTAGCAAGTCTTTTTTTAGGTGTTTTGCTGCTATTGTTGGTTGGTTTGGCTTTTAAACTATTTGAGAAGTTCTTCTCAGGGCTGTAGCAGAACCTCAGAGCTCTACAGCCATGTTCTGCTTCTCCAAGTCACAGGAGAAGACATGGAAAAGCTCAGTCTCTTGGGAGTGCTGAACAGCCTTCCTCTAGGCCTCATTTTTCTTAACGCTGTAACTGCTTTTGATAGCAGTTCTATCAAAGTGTAGAGCAAATTCAATTTCACACAATTTGAAATGTAAAGAGCTCAGAATCGTGCAGGCAGCCACAAAACCCCCACATCCAGGGCACCACAGCAGGATGCCCAGGCTCTGTGACAGAGGCTGCTTGAACAGTGCTGGAAAACTAAATAGGCCTGGAAAAGAAAAACTATCTGGTGTTTGTTGTGCCATTCTTCTTGCCCTTCAGTTTTAGAAGCAATGTAGAGTCTCAGACTGTTTTCTGTCTAGGGAAGATCCCCAGTCATTCCACTAGAGAAGGATGGCAGCAGCAATCTAGCAGGCAGCCAGGGTGACAGGAAGGAGCTGAAGCCTACAGAGAAATGGTGCATGATCCAATCCATCACCAATCCAAATTCACCAGGACTGAACACATACATTTCTTACTTTTTTTTGGTTTTTTTGATCAGACAATCAAGATTAAATATGCTGGACACAAATATTTCCTGCACCTTATATTCTACGCCTTATATTAAAACATATTCTACACAATATATTCTAAGCCTTGATTTAAAAAAACATTTCTTTAGAACAAAGAAAAACAGGTAATGAATGTAGAACATCTTAAACATAAGAAAACCAAAGAAATAAAATTGAAACTAGTAGCATTATGTGTATTTCAATTTCAGTACAAACCTTCCAATATGCACTTTACATTTATGTTCTGTTTACCTGATATTTATATAAGACTAAAGCATATTGTTGTTTATGCATATTTTGTAATTTTTTTTTTGTTTACTTTTAGCTTTGCCTGAGTTTTTTTTGAAGATTTGATAAAGATTTTCCCTCAAGTCCTAGCTTGGAATCAAAAACTATCATTATGATAGTTTTTGATTCCAAGCTAGGACTTGAAAGTAGTCACTATCAGACTGAAAAGCAAAATTTTAAGCACAAACCTGAATTAAATTTTTCTACAATATTGTAAGAACTATCAATAAATTAAGGTACTAATCTGCTGTAGGTAAATGTGTTACTGTTTTAGATCTCTTGACACGAGTATAAAACTACTTACTCTTCTCGCAAAATAAATTCAATATTTTCTGGAGAAACCTGTCCTGTCACAGGATGTCTAAATGACGTGGTCTGCTGATTATGGCTGAAAGGGAAAAAAAAGAAAAAAGGAAAAAGAAAATTAATATTGCTATACTCAGTAATATATGATCTCTAAAAGGCAGAACTTTTTATATTGATGTCTTGCTGCTCTAGTCCAGAAATTAAACATATTTCTGAGGTACTTTTCAAGTCTGAAATGTTTTCAGCTCCTTGCTATGTTCTTATCGACTTTGCCAATGGCACACTGTGCCATTTAATTATTAAGCAAGTTAATGCTTTAAAAGTAAACTAGTTGCAATCTTTAGTTAGTGAGACATACTTGAATTTATGATTATTTATACCTGGCAGTTACCAGATTATTGAGATATAGCATGGAAATTATATAACATACATTGCTGATTTGTGTTTCCATAAATTTCACAGAATAGAACCAGTAATTTGAAATGCAACATTTTACACAATTTTTATTATTTAATGACGTCAGAGAAAAATTATGTGGAAGCCATTTCTTGCATGTTTCTTTTTCTTCTAATGTGGTATTTCTCCAATGATTTCTTTTTTATGTGGAAGCATAAACACCTTCATGCAGAGGACCACACATAACCTTAGTCGTGCAGCTCCACAGCTCATTTAAAACAACATGATTTAGTATTTCATCAGAGCTGAATTAAAATCAGGGGTTTCTATAAACTTTCCCCTCAGAGCACTATCTAGACATTTTGCTATGCTCTGTGAAACATTTCATTAAAGATAGGTATCTTACCTATCTGTGAACCCAACAGCTCATTTATTTAAGACTCTAAATTTTTCTGGGTTAACAATTCTCAGGTAAACAACATCCAAAATCAGAACTCACATAAAATGTAATAAAATAGTAACACAATCTGAGTGTATTCAGAAAGTAAAAATAACAAAGCCATTCAAAGAATTATACCTCAAACAGGCAAAAATGAAAACTTGATGTGTTTCCTTGTTTAAGGAGCTGGAGTTTTTTCTCTTGTAAAGCCTGTTTGGTTTCAAGCATTACAGATTTGACCTTTCTGTCCAGCATACCAGGATGCCCCCAGCACAGAATAAGGCATAAAGAAACACTTTCAGATTTCAGAGCAATGAGTTCCTAAGAGATAACACTCTGCTGACTAAGGACAGCTAACAATCAAACAGCTCACGCAGCCATAACATGCCAATGTAAATAGCTCAGGACACGTCTTGATTTAAAAAACAAACCAAAACCAAGCAAAGCAAAATCAACCAACCCCTAAGAACATCAAAAACTCCACCAACTGCTCATGCTAAGTCCCACTCAGGCCATAAACACAAAGAGTGTTTGGTGTGTTATAAACTTTTCACCCTTTTCCAACACACCTTGCTACTGGGTTGGGTTCCTTATAACTGAGCAAGTCAGATAGAAGGCACCCACATAATGAACATTTCCAATGATAAGCTGAAAGCTCTAACAACTTACGCAACACCAGAAAGCCTTTTTCCAGCCTCACCTATTATAAAAATCCTCACCCTAGAGCCATTGGAAACTGTGAACAAGATATGGGCTATCAATTACTCCACTGCACCAGGGATGGCCCTTGCTCCCTACTCTGCTGAGAACTAACCTGTCCTACAGCTGAGGATTAATAAAGGTTAATAAAGTTTCTATCTCTTCAGTTTTTCCATGAAATCAGAGATCCAGAGAAAGTATCTTCAGTAAGCACAGAATAACATCTACAAAGCAACCAGGATATATTTCCTCACAAAACCACTGAGGAGTATTGTTTCCTAAAAAAGCATTTCTATGTGAGATTTAATTTTGTGTCTACATGCAAAGAGTGGGATAGGAACTTGAGATGTTTTCAAAGAAAATCATAAATAAATGAATTAAAATCCTAACAACTGAACTCCATGTTTGTCACACTGTCCATTTTTAAGTTTTTAAGTTGAAAGCCTTTCCTTTCAAAGAAGGCCTGATGCAGTCTGCTTAACCTTAGTGCTTAGGTTAGGACTGCTATCAAAAAAAGGGCAGATACCCTGTTAGCTTAAAAAAAAAATTGAAAGGACCTTGCCAGCTATATTGTCCAGGGGCAGAGGAGCTGCCAACAAGCTCTCATCTGCAGGCTGTCAATCATTAATAACTCATTCTTCAATTAAGACTAAAAAAAAAAGAACTGTATTCCAGAAGTGCTCCAGGGTTATTAGGAAGGGAAGTTTCCCATAATACCATACAAGCATGTACACAAATGCTTTATTCTATCTCAGGAAATAAATTCACCAGAAGAGGAATTAGTCCTCTAAGTGCAAATAAAGAGCAAGTGCATTACTAACAAGACTAAATATTACTTACTAATAATAAAGATTTCAGCTGGAAAGTAAACACTTTTTTAAATATCTGAGCAATGCATTTTAGGACAAGTTTTGCATATCAAGCAAACACTATGAGCAGAGAAACAGAAGGATGGTTCTGTTGCTACCTAAAATGCAGATGGGTAATTTCACAGACAAGGAGAGGGCACATAAACCCAAAACTTCTGCAGCTTCAACAGTAGGACTTCACTGGGAAGAAAGAAATGAAACCCCTGCCACTAACAATTAGTTTTGCAGAACACAGTGGTTTATTTGAATTTGAAAAGTGAGAGTTTAAGTGTTTTGCCTCACAGGACTCATTAAGACTAAGCGACACTATTCAAAACAACCTATACAACAGATGGCTAATGCCTTGCAACAAGGAATTAGATGGCAGGGAGATTTCCCTTCACAATGAGAGCAGTCAAACATTGGAAGAGGTTGCCTAGCAAGGCTGTGGAATCTCCTTCCTTGGAAACATCCAAAATGTGGCCAGATAAGGCTCCAAGCCAAATATCAAACTTTATAAGCTGGTTCCAACTTTGAAGCTGGCCTGGCTGGATGTGATGGGGAACAGAGCTTCCTTCCAATATATTCTGTTCTGTCATTCTCTGCTGCTCCCTCTATCCTTTCTCTGCAAATACAATTTAATTCTTATAATAAAGCTTCTTTGAAGCTTTCCCAGTATTTAAATGGATTTATTCCAAGACTATTAACAGTAGCTTGTTTTTATCAGGATGAGAGAAATTGAACAGCTAGATTTTTAGATGACAATTATTTGTTGTTGTTTTCATGTCTTTTAAATATTTTCTTAACAGTGATATCTGTTTACACAACACCAATAACAATAACATCACCAGTCAGAGTGCTCTAAACTTATTGCAGTGCAAGTTTCCTTCCTTTCCAAGCATAGACTAAGACAAGACCTGACACAGTTGCTCTCTGGACACATCAGCTACCCAAGAATTAGTCAACCACCTGTATTTCCTCCAAATGCCAGCTACTGAACGTGTTCCCATTGTCCAGAAATCTACCACCTACAACAAGCACAAAAAATGTGCCTTAATAAAAGGACAGGGTAAACTGTTCTACTCTCTATGCCCCTTTATTCTTTTTTTTTTTTTAATTAGAGAAACATGTAATAGTTTCAACAAAACTGGGAAAGGCTTAGAATGCTTCACCATGTGAATTCTGAATGCCTTGGAGCTTGCATTAGTACAACACCACACATTTGAAATGCCAAGCTAAGTCTTCTAGCAACACTACAAGTTTTCTGTGTGATCAATCATGGAATCTTTTCCTAGCAACCATCTTTTAATTTTATTAGTTTTATATTATTCTGATTTTGAACAGATAGTGGTAATCAGTGTCATGTAAGCAAAGCAAGTATAAAACCATGAAAAATCCACAAAAAATTACATTGATTACTATCTACCACTACTAGCTTTATTAAATTACACTAGAGATTGTTAGAAATTATTCTGAATTTCAAAGTTACAGAACACCACTTTCCAAGGATAATAATACTTAAGACTCAGACTCTTCATAAAAGAATCACACTTCAAAACCCATTTCTTTGTAATTAGATACCTCACCACAAACTCCATGATTTCACAGTATGTATACACAACTTTTACCAACAAAAGAACTGAGTCACCAACTGTCTTAAGACAGATGCAAACCAGGCCCTATCCCTATAGAATAATGGAGCCAGGCAGGCACTTTTGCTTGTATGGATCCTTTTGCAGAATTCATAATTAATATGACTTCAATTAATTTTGTATTTGAGTCAAAGCCAAGTCTAATTATTAATTTTTGGACATGACTGATGCTGATGACCTTTCATTTCAAGTCAAGCAAGTGCATAGATTGTCTCTGGAGTAATTTAAATGCACAGGCAGCTGAAACTTGAAATGTGTGAATCAACTATTGATGAAGTCTATATCACATTAACAGCAAATTTATAAGTTGTGAGAAACATTCACATTGTCATTGGACAGATGCCCTGTAAATTATTACAAGCCATTTCTACAGCACTTATTCCCAGGCAGGCTGACTCCTGTACACTTACCTATAAGACTAGATAAGCATAAACACCTTTATGTTGAATACCCCAAATGGTGATGACAGTTGTGTGGGCACCTGTGGGATTTCTCGGCTGTTTAGATGGTCTGGGGAAAAGCCCAAAGATGGCCTTGGGCCCCCGGGTTCGAAAGGACGAGAGGAAGCTTCAGATTTGTTCTTGGTCTTGGTGTTTATTAATTGCTTATCTAAAAGATTTTCTCTTGGCCTGACAGAGTTCTGCTCAGCAGTCAGCCATGGGCACACACTGAAAGCCCCTGGGGCGGTCACCTATCTTTATACCCGGAGTTACGTATACCATATTTATCATTTTTCTCCAATACCCTCTACCCTTATTAACCAGTGTTCCCCTAGTAAGGTCCAATCCCGGAGTGCCAACATCACCACAGAAGATGGAGGCCTAGAGGAAGAAGAAGAAGGAGAAGGGCACGCCCCAATCCCTCCATCTTGCCTCTCTAGACCCCCCTGTACAGGGATCTTAAACCCTGTATCTCACACTCCAATTAACTTGTCCCTTCACCATTCACCCCAGTGAAATCCTCCCGTCCTCATACTGATGTCATCTCCCATGTGGGATCAAAGTCCAGCCACCAGACATCTCTGGCAGCATTCCAGGACTCCCGAGCC